CCGATATTAGTAATCTTAGGACTTGATTTAAGTGTAGTGAGGTTTGGATGTTGGATTGATTCGTTTAACTGTCTGAGTAAAGGTATGAAGAGATTTGGAGAACTCTGTGTTTATATGTGCTTTGAGTGTCCAAGTTCCGAAAGAAGTGTTTGGAACTTGTGGTCTGGAAACTAGAAATGTGTAGGCAATTTGAGTTAAGTGAGGGTGCCCTATTTTGTTAAAGTGTTATTGCTTTGAGCAAGTAACCTTGTAAGATCAAGTTCCTCGTTTTCTTTGTAGAATTGAATACCCTCTTGTTAAAAAACCTTTCCATTTTTCAATTCTAGTTTTTGTTTTCCTCTCAAAATGGTTGTGTGCAAGGTGACATCCTAATTTATGAGGTCTTAACCTTGATAATCTGTGTACTGCGTGCCAGATGGGCTGCCGTCTGTGCGCTTCCCATTGTCACGAGTCGAGTGTTTTAGAGTTAATTTTTATGGACATTTGGGGTCCTTCTCCAATTATGTCCATTGATGGATATAAATATTTTGTACTCATTGTCGATGATTTTTTCGGAATATGTGCTTCTATCCAATGAAATTAAAATCGAACATATACTCTATATTTACTACATTTCGCACTCTAGTTCAAAAATAGTTTGCCTGCCCTATTAAATGTATCCAATCCAACATGGGCGGTGAATAATATCGCAAACTTCACTCGGTATTCACCGCCGCTAGAATTTCACATCGACAGTACAGCCCCCACACACACGAGCAAAACGGTCGTGTGGACCGCAGACACCATCATGTGGTTGAAACCGGGATTACTTTATTAGCCCAGAGTCATGTTCCTAAAAAATACGGGTCCTATGCATTCGAGTCTGCGGTATATTTAATAAATCATATGTTGTCTTCAATTTCTCAAGGTGTTAGTCCGTACTCGTGCATGTTTAATAAGTCTCCTAACTATACAATGTTACGTGTGTTCGGTTGTGAGTGTTTTCCATGCATTCGGCCATATAATAGCCACAAAATGGACTATCGTTCTACCTCTTGTGTTTTTCTAGGATACCCAGATTCTTTTAGTGGTTACAGCTGCTTAGACAAGGCCTCCGGGCGCATTTATATTGCAAGGCATGTCTGCTTCAGTGAAGAGGTGTTCCCGTTCTCGAAGGTTCCGGAGGTACCTTCTACGCCGCACACTGCTACTGTTCCACCATTACCTTGGGCGTGTGCACAGATACGTCAACCATCACTGCTGCTTGGAGCCACACCGCCGCTACCAAGCCAGCTGCATCCACCCGTGACTCACCGTGATCCACAACAACTTGCTCTACCTACCTCTTCATTGATTGCCGAAGCTACTACCTCCTTTTTTAACCGTCAACATCCTCCACTACGAAGGGTCGACGTCGGCACTCACGTTCTACCACTCGCACACATGCCATGTAGATGCGGACCACGACTAATGCTCAACGCTGCCAACCGACGTCAATGATAGCTTCTGTCGATGATGACGAACAAAAATGCCACTCACAAGCGATCAAGCTGCCACACTGGCGCAGTGCCATGGATGTCGAGTTCAACTCCCTCCTGCACAATCAAACCTGGAAGTTAGTACCAGCACGGCGCGACATGAACGTCATCGGCTGCAAGTGGGTTTTCCGCATGAAACGAAAATCAGATGGAACCATTGAGCGTTACAAGGCCCGTCTGATCGCCAAGGGGTTCAACCAAATACCGAGCAAAGACTACCTTTAAAATTATAGCCCTATGGTCAAACCGACCACTATCCGGCTCCTTCTACCCTTTGTGTTTTCAAGTCGGTGGACCATGCGGCAATTAGATGTCTATAACGTCTTTTTAAATGATCGCATTAATGAGGATATCTACCTACGACAACCCTCGGGATACACCGATCCCAATCACCCTGATCATGTTTGCAAGCTGTAACAGTTGGTGTACAGCCTAAAGTAGGCCCCTCGGGCCTGGTTCACAAGACTGCACAATTTTTTTAGTTCAAATTGGGTTTCGTCCTTCAAAAACGGACGTTTCTTTATTCATTTTTATTCCAGACATACTCGTGCATGCCTGCTAGTCTACGTGGATGATATCTTATTGTTGGGTAATAATTCGAGCATGGTTGATGATGTGTTATCTAAACTGTCCACTGTGTTTAAAATTCGTGATCTTGGCAGACCACGTTTCTTTCTGGGCATTGAAGCTGTCTATGTTGCAGATGCCATAGTGTTATCCCAACAATGGTATATGACGGAGCTTCTTCACAAAGCAGGTATGGAATCTTGCAAGCCCCTTGCTGTGACACCCCGAAAATCCTTACTTAATTTCCCAATCAATCCCTACGAGTATTTCTTAATTGGGGATTAATTTCTTTATTTAATGGGCCCAATTTCCATACTCTAAATAATCCTAGCATAGTATTTTATTTCCAAGCCCAAATATTCTAAGGCTTATATATTTAATTGGATCTTTGGTATGGACTTTATAATATATCCCTTGTATAGATCTATTTAGTCTTTCTAGCCCAAGCCATGTAGACATTGTTCGTCCATGCTTCTTACAATTTCAAAAGCCCACCTTGAATTTCCCTTGAATTTGATAAAAGCCTTAGCCCACATTATTACCCTTACTATTGTGTAATGTTATCTCAGCATTCCTAGCTTATTTTCCCTGACCTAGACAACCTCAAAACCCTAGTTACTTCCACTTTCCTCCTCACCCATCTCTTCACCTCTTCACACCAAAATGCCATTCATCTTCCAACTCAAGAAACAAGACCAAGATTCCACCTTTCTACTTCAATAAGCCTAAGAATGGTAAGGTCTATCATTGTCCTCCTTTTCTATTCAAGATCCCTTCCTTTTTCTAAATCTTTACTCTCTTTCTATGTTGGGTTTGGGGATTTGAAGAAGAACAAGTGATTGGTGAGTTGCTAGGATGATCTAGAGGAGCTTGTGGTGTTTCTTTGAGGCTTTGCTAAGATAAGGAGGTAACCCATGTCTTACAAAATCTATTTACACTTGCTATTATGATTTATTGATACTCGAGTGATTATGTGCATATTCTTGCGATTATGCCTTTGTAGAGCTTGTATCTAGGGTTCTCTAATGCTATTTATTGAGCTATTTTATGCATTCAAATTCCTTTTGTTGTTGATGTGAGTTTTGAGGTGTTTGGACTTGAACATGAGCATTCTAGCAATTTTCCCCGAAATGGGATTTCTCCTCTCTGTTTCGGTACTAGCGGGACTCTAGCACGCAGTTTGCCACCCGCCAGACCACCCGTTGGTACAAGGTTGCATGTGGCGGGGGGTTCGACGGGTGGTTGACCATCCGCGGTACCACCCGCTGGTACGGGGTGTTTTCGGCGGGTGGTTTGCCTGCCACCCGAACCGCCCACTGGTACATTTTGTTGATTCCTTGATTTGTTGTTCCCCGGTTGTTTGTGAGTACTTATTGATGTTTCGTAAGTCTAGAACGATGTCTTAAGTATCCTTGATAGAATTTGTGAGTCTTGAATCGTGTTTGTGATCCAACTTTGTGATTCGTTGGATTGAAGTGAAGTCTATGATGTTTGTATGAGCCTTTATGATTATCTTGTTGAATTGCATGCTAGCTACGTTGTTTGTTGGTACTAGTATGTGTTTCCTCGTAATGACCTTATTTATTCTTGATGTGGATTGGTAACTTGTGATTACCAATCATTGTGGTCTTTTGATTTGGAAGCCTTTTGTTATTGTGGCAATACTTTGGAATGTCTCACTTCTGTCCTTTATTGAATTCCTTCGATTGAACCTATCATTGTGAGCTTGTACAATTGTTGTACCTTATCGTGATTATTTCTTGATTGGGCTATTATTGAGTCGCGATTATCTATGTCGATGACTATGTGTTGTTTATGATTGATATAAAAGCTGGCGGTAATGAGCTTTGCTCAAAAGAATGAGATTGGCAGTATGTTATATTATGTTTATAAAAGCTGGCGGCACGCCGACAGGCTACAGGGAAGCTAATCAGGTAGCGGACGCTTTAGCGGCAGAAGGTCTAGCTGTCGATTCCTCCAAGATTTTTTTGTTCTTAAATTCTCTACCTATAAAAGCCAATTTGGCTCTCTTGTGTGATCTCAAGGGCTTTGTATTCCATCGCGCTATTAATCAAAAATAAAGTCTCTTTTCATCAAAAAAAAAAAAAAACTGGCGGCAAACAGGCAGTAAAGCTGGCAGGGAGCTTAGCCTCCAGATGGTATAAGGTGGACTGGTGTACAGGGTGGTCTCGGAGGTACAGGTTGGAACTGTTATAAGGATGGAACGGTGTAAAGGTTGGAACTTGGCATAAGGTTGGAACTTGGTCATTGATTGTGATTCTTGTAACTCTTTTGCTTATGAGCATATCTTTCTGTGACCTTTTGGTTGTTGCTTGATTACCTTACCTTTTTGATTATCTTTGTATCCTTAACATTGTCTCCTCGAATTGATTCTATTGATTAGTCGTGTGTTGGTCAGTACAATTGAGTGTGTTCTTCGATGAGTCAAATGATACTTCTATCTCTCTGGTTTTAAAAGCTAGTGTTGCTAAGACTATACTTATGTATTCCAAAGTCTCAAAAGTGTTTTCTTAATATATATATATATATATATATATATAGAACTCAACGCGTTGGAGTGGGTTACTTAGCAATTTTCGCTAACGGTTGTTATACCTTAATGTTTTCAGGTGCTAGTTAGCCTGAGAGCGCGTAGTGGAGCCGGCTTAGATTAGCTTTAGTTTTCCTCTAGCTTAGTGCTTTGGCTTGTGTGCCCTTATGCTTTGAATTTTGGATAGTAGTTGTTTCGTTAAGCCTGTGTATCTAGATAGGAGATCCAGATGTGGCATATCACCCTTAAGACTTGTTAAACTTCCGTTGTTTTTTTTTTTTTTTTTTTTTTTTTTTTTTTTTTTTTTTTTTATGTTAATGGTTAGTTGTTATCTTTGTTTTGGGGGTGTTACACTTGCCAACCCGATGTCTCTCACCACTGCGAATCACCCTGATGGCTCAGCCTTGCTGGATGATCCGACCCCATATCGCCAACTTGGCGGGTCTCTTATGTATCTACTGATCACCCTGCCAAATTTGTCCTTTGCGGTTAACAGGCTATGCCAGTTCATGCACAACCCCATGCAGGATCATTGGGTGGCTCTCAAACACGTGTTGCGGTATGTGAAGGGAACCATGCACCATGGTCTGCGTCTCATGCCCTCTTCCTCGTCGGTGATTCATGCCTTTTCCGACTCCGACTGGGCTGGTTGCTCTGTTGACAGGAAATCCATTGCAGGCTACATAGCATTTCTTGGCCCGAATCTACTCTCTTGGATTTCCCATAAGCAACGCACTGTCGCTCGCTCATCCACCGAAGCGGAATACAAGGCCCTCGTCGACGCTGCAGCGGAGGTCACTTGGATACAATCGCTTCTACGAGAACTCGAGTTGCTTCCGTCGATGGTCCCAGTCCTGTGGTGCTATAATCTGAGAGCGACGTACTTGTGTTCCAATCCAATCTTCCACGCACGGACGAAACACGTAAAAGTGGACTACCATTTCGTCCGAGACAAGGTTTCATCCGGCGCCCTAAAAGTTAACTTTTCCTCAACCCATGATCAGTTAGGAGACATTTTCACCAAACCCCTCTTTGCTACTCGGTTTAATGAGCTTCGAGTCAAGCTGGGCATTGTCCTATGTCCCCCGTAAGCTTGAGGGGGAGTATTGAGTAGTTAGAGTCTCATGGTTTAGTTAGAGATTATTCCTGTTAGTTTACTGCTTTAGTGCTTTAACTCTGTGTATATATTTCACCATGTAATCTTCTCTAATGTATTAATAATCCAAATCTTATTCACTCATCCCAAACATGCAAAATACTTTCACTAAAATCCATTACCATTACCAAGTATTTGATACACATTCCGATTCTGATTCCCATGTACAAACCAAACGCACCCTTAGTAAACATATAGACTTGTGAAATGTTATTGACCAAAACAAAGTTTGAACATCCACCCAATAAGGAATTTGTGATAAAGAATATGTCCGTATTATATACTCATAAGAGATAAATCATGTGTAGGAATTGTAAGACTTTCACGTATAATATATATTATATATTATGGGTCTTACTTATGTGGTGCAAGTGGACTAGGCCCATTAAGTAATTGATTGGGTTGGACCTTTAGGTTTAAGTCTTATATCCATCAATGTGCCTATATAAAGCTTGTATTGATGGGATACAAGATACATGAATATTATATGGTACTCATACTGTTCAGAAAATATCAGTACACCATCTAGGGTTCTGAGTCAAGTATGAGACAAAATGGCTAACGCTTCTGCAGATCTATTGTTCAAGAGACAACACAACAGGATATCAACCATGGCTGGAGATCTACGGTGCTTCCTCTTCCGCTACTACGAGTTAAGTTTCTCGTAGATTATGGCTGTATATTGTTAGAATTTGTAAATTCAATTATTTCCATAAATTTGATCTTAATGCATTAAACATTTTGTCATTGGTTTACAGTTTAAAATTTCAAAAATTTATTGAAATCTCATATTGTAAATTGCTTTAAGTTATGCAATTTGTCTGGAATATATGAGTTTAATGTTTATTTTTATGCATTAAGCATAATATTCTTTTTTAAATTATGCAATTTTTTTTATTATGCGTTTAGAAATGCATAAATTTAGGATGAAATTATATTTGTTCCTACATAAGTTGGACTAATGCATAAACTTTAGTTGCGGTAGTGCCTGAATTTAAGCACGTTTAGTCCGTTAATTTAGTCCATCAATTTAAAGCCTTATCCGTAGGTGAATCTACAATCTCATATATCTCCCAAACGATTTTAATTCAAATATGAGAACACATGACTTAGGGAAGTTTCTTGGGGAGGAATACTAGTTCTATGGCCCTGGCTTAAAAGCCTTGTTGCTACTAGTCCCCTTGCGACGCTACTCTGTCTAAGGAGTTGGTATTTAACCGAGCTTCGTCTCGACCAACTTTCCTGGGAGTATACCTAATAATTGTCTATCATGTGTTGGTTTAATTTGTTTGTTAGGCTTTAAATTCCCCTTTTGTCAAGTGATTACAATTTTAGATTAATTAAAGAGTAGCCACAACATCTTTAATTTACTAAAAATTGTGTAAGGTTTAAATTACATAAAGATGGCAATGATAATTGTCTAGTGGTCTTATAATTTTAATGAGTTGGGGAGTAGCCACAGCATCCTTAATCAGTTAAAATTATATATTAAGCAGTTTATCTTGATCACATACAGTTTTGGACATATCATTTGTGATTAATTGTATGTAATATGATGGAATTTAGCCCACAAGCAATTTCGTTATATTTGTATAGTTAATCAGGATGAAATACTGGACTACGGTCATAATTTAGCCCACAGGCAATTATGTATCAAAATGTGGTTTAATAGTTTTATCAGTGATGATAGAAATAAATCAATTTTATTTACTTTATAGTTATTTGTAAATAATTCTCATCTCTATCATAAAGTTTAATTTTATGATGTAAATTTTAGATCATATTTCTTAATTTACCCACAGGGATTAAGAAAAGGAATATGATTTCTTAAGTTTTTATCATAATAGTTGTAATGAATCCTATTGAGTAAAACTTTAGCCTACAGACAAGTTTTATATCTCTTGATTCTTCAACTTATTTGATAATTGTTTCATCATAAAATTTCAGTTGGATCAAATTGAGTAAAACTTTAGCCCACAGACAAGTTTTATGTCACTAGTTTCTTCTGTCTATTTAGTAATTGAGATAAAATATTATCATAAGGGTTTAGTTGGATTTAATAGAATTAAAACGTACTTTAGCCCACAGACAAGTTTTATGTCAATAAATCCCTCAACCCACTAGATAATAATTTTATTACAATTTCTTAGAATTTATAAATTTAGTTCAATTATAATTCTAAGTTTCATGATTTGCATTGGCAAAACATATATTTAGTTACTTCCCAAAATTTAGCCACTTTATTAATTGAGCCACGAAACTTGCTCGATTTCCAGACTAACTGTAGTAAGTTACGTGATTTGATATAACTCTATTGGATTCCAAGAATAAAATGTACCTTTTTTTTTTAGCCAAATTCTAAATTGGTTTTGGAAAGTATATTTTATTATTTTAGAATGTCCAACTATGGTGGGGAGTCATGTCCTCATTAGTTATTCCTTTAGTTGGACTATAATTGGAATCATATATTGATTATTTAGTATGCCCAACTAGTGGTGGGGAATTATATCTTCATTAATTAGTTGGTCAAATCAATTATGAGTACGTATATCATTAATTTTGCTAAAAATTATCTTAATCAGTGGAAGTGATCATTTAAAAAATGATCATTAAGATATTCCATAATCAGTGGGAGTGATCATTTAGAAAAAGATCATTAAGATACTCCATTAAAGATTTTGGATTTAATAGGCTTCATACATCCTAAATTGGATTGTATGTCAAACAATAAGTCCAAAAGATTCCATAAGTATTAATCTTGTATTTGTTCATATAAATTCATATTGGTTTAGCAACATATTTATGAAAATGTTGTAACAATATTGAGGAGTTTATTAGAACAAAACATATAACTTGTGGTGCACTGTTAAGTAATAAATTCTTCAACATTTAATAGTCTTTAGTTTCTTCAAAATTGATCCTGGGCCATTTTGGTTTGTAAGGCTCAAGACAATTTTGAGAAACATAAAAGTAAGACTCATAATGTTCAGTTCTTTTTGAGGTGGATCTTAAGATTATTTGGGAAGTTATGGTGTATGTTTAAGATTCCAAATTTATGGAATTAGAGTTTTGATTTATTGTCTAAGTTATTGGAATACTTATGTGACTTGACTATCTTTTGGCTATTTTGATGAGTGGGAGTGACAGACATGTCAACTCCAAGCTCTTAGCCGTTAGAGGTAGTACTTATCTTAACTTATAAAGAAGTCATGGAATATATAGTTAGCATTATGCTAATTAAGAGATCTCTACTTAAGGCATGCTTTTAAGGATATTAGAGATCATACAGTGTACTCTTTTGTACAATTTGGATGATTTTCTCTCTTAAGTTGCGCATATATATTTTATTTTGAGAAACATCCCTTAAGGTACCAAGAATAAACGTTGGGTTTGTTCATAAATGATTCAAGTTGGGGAACAAAAATGCATGTGATCACAGGAGATATTACTCACTTATTCAGTAGAGGACATATTACTATGATTCGTGTGTTTCGTTCTTTAATGAGAATTGTGCTAGTACTTGCACCAAGTGGGAGACTGTAAGACTTTCCCGTATAATATATATTATATATTATGGGTCTTACTTATGTGGTGCATGTGGACTAGGCACATTAAGTAATTGGTTGGGTTGGACCTTTAGGTTTAAGTCTTATATCCACCAATGTGCCTATATAAAGCTTGTATTGATGGGATACAAGATACATGAATATTATATGGTACTCATACTGCTCAGAAAATACCAGTACACCATCTAGGGTTCTGAGTCAAGTATGAGACAAAATGGCTAACGCTTCTGCAGATCTATTGTTCAAGAGACAACACAACAGGATATCAACCATGGCTGGAGATCTACGGTGCTTCCGCTTCCGCTACTACGAGTTAAGTTTCTCGTAGATTATGTTCTGTATATTTAAATCTCACAGGAATAATATATATATATTTGACCATACAAGTATATATATAACTCCTTATTATACTAATCTATATCTATCTACACACACACACCACACACACACACACACACACACACACACACACACACACACACACACACACACACACACACACACACACACACACACACACATATATATATATATATATATATATATGAAAAAAAATTCCCCGCATAAGTGTGAATGCAAATGAGATTAACAATATGATTCATTTAAACATTAATTATAATTAATTTGTAAATTTTATTTAAATACGTTAGCTATATAATTAAATTAGTTATTTTAAATTCAAATTCAAATAATAATACGAGTAACAATAAACTTAAAAATCAACATAATAATAACATAATTAAATTTTTAAAAATATTAAATATTACATTATATACTTATACTTACATTTTTAATAAAATTAATTTTGAACAGAAAAACTAGGTAAATTTTTTTTATTTCCACAATCGTTACATTCTTTGCTAATTTAGAGGATATTAAAAATTTACTAAAATTTATTAAATTAATAATAGTTGGTTCACTGTACAAGTATGTATAAGTCACTCATTAACTTTGATTTGATTCTAGATATGTTCCACACAATTCTGAGACCGTAACTCACTCATATGTAGCTTTGATTTGTTTTGATGGTAGATAATGTTAGGAATATGTGTGGGCAGCCACCGTAGTGCCACACTATTCTAGTATTCTGAGCCCGACGAAGGATCGGAGGAAGAACGACATTCGTGCCCGCTCATTTTGGGATACACGAGTCAATGTTACGAATATGTTTGGCCAGCTGTTTTGACTGCCTACGCACGAGAAAGAATTTTTATATTATACAATTTTTTTTTTTTGAAGAATTATATTATACAATTTAACATCTCTTAAAAAGAGTTTTGTATGTACAGTGATGCATATCTTTTTTTTTTTTTTTTAATGTGGGACAAGTGTTTATTTTAAGTCTTTTCACTTTCTTAATCAACTTAAATGTGTCTACTTTAATAATTAATTTCTCATTCATCTATTATTATCTGATCTGTTTTGAATGTACAACATATCAATCTTTTCGTCTTATCACGAAAAACACGAATCTACTTTAACTTAACCAAAATTGAAAGTGGACTTCACATATATTTGTACAACAAAATAATCACTTATAATACAATTTTATGCTATTGTTTCCAACAAGATATATATGCTCTTAATATTCTTCATATTTACATAAAATTAAAATATCATTGGCAAAAGTCATATTATTTACACATGTAATTAGTTAAGCATGCATTCAACACAAATTAAAATACCCTTCCTATGGCAATTTATATCGTGGACCCTGGATCAAAATGATGTCGTTTGATTTTTAAGCTTTAACAGACTCCGTAACTTTTCGTTTCTCATGTTTCAACACAAATTTTAATTTATTTTAGGTACAGAATCATTATGCTTAATGTACAAAAATGCATAATACGAGATACATACACATGTTTTCTATTTTTACTTATTTTCAAATCTGATTTGTGTAAATAATTTATGTCATACAAACACATAATTTCATAATACAAAGACATAAATTCGTAAAATAAAACACACAATATGTTTTCTGTTATACAACTACTAATTAATTACAGGTACATAATCCTTACGCTTAATGTACAGAATTGCATAACATGATGTACAAAAACGCATAACACGAGATACATACGCATGTTTTCTATTTTACTACGATATACATACACATATTTTCTATTTTACTTATTCTCAGATTTGATTTATGTAAATAATTTATGTCATATAGGCACATAATTTCATAATACAAGAGATAAATTTGTAAATAAGAAACACAATATATTTTGTGGTATGCATCTACTAATCAATTTCAGGTACAGAATCCTTACGCTTAATGTACAGAATTACATAATATGATGTACAGAAACGCATAACACGAGATACATATATACACATGTTTTCTATTTTACTGTGAGATACATACACATGTTTTCTATTTTACGTATTCTCAAATCTGATTTATGTCTTATAGGCACATAATTTCATAATATAAGACATAAATTCGTAAAATAAGATACAATATGTTTTGTAGTATACAACTACTAATAAATTTCAAGTCCAGAATTCTTACGGTTAATGTACAGAATTGCATAACATGAAGTACAAAAACACATAACACGAGATAAATACACATGCTTTACAGTTAAAATTAAAGTTCAAAGCGACATCGTATAGAACTAGGGTCCACAGTGCACTGTGGAACCTGGTTTCACAGTATAACGATTGCCCTTCATATGGTTTTGGGTATTTTGGTTCTCTCTCTAAGTGGGAAAATTATGATGTGGAATCGTGACTACCTTGCAAGATGGACACGGTTCCAAAGTTGTTCATAATTGTGAGTATATGGTTCAAAAATTATGAACATAGAGTTCTATAATTATGAAAATAGAGTTCTGTAATTGTGAATATGAAGTTCAAAAATTATGAACGAGTTTTATAATTATGAACATAGAGTTTAGTCTGTAATTGTTAATATAGAGTTCAATAATTTTGTGAATATGAAGTTTAAAAATATAAATATAGAACTTTATAGTTATGAACATAGAGCTCAGTAATTATGAATATAGAATCGTGTCCACCTTGCAAGGTGGATACGGTTCCACGGCATAACAATCTCTTTCCCATGGTTTTGGCTATTGGTTCTCGTATCATTATGCTGTGCATCCGTGTGCACCACGGCATAACCATTCTGTATTTTTAGTTCATTGATTCTAGATTTTTAGTTCATTGATTCTGGATATATAGTTCAAATTATGCACAACATAATGTTGTTGCTGGGAATTGAAACTGAATTTTTTTTTTAAATGGGACGCACATTTTTAATAAAACGACATTATTTTTGTATCTGTATACACCATGCATAATGCACACGGATGCACAACATAATTTGCCTTGGTTCTCTGTCTAAGTGGCCCAATACCCAAAACAAAAAAGCTTCAATTATTCAAAAGCTAAACTATTAAAAAAAAAAACAAGCTTCAATTTTCAAACCTATTCTTATCACAGCACAAGAAAGAAAAAAATGGAGAATAAATCAAAAAGTTAAAAAAAAAAAAAAAACTGATTTACAATATAATAAATCATACATAGATTTAGAAAAGTATATTTAATACATACATTAAAAGAGTAATATATTTTTATTTTTGCATAAAAAAATGAACTGTAAATTTTTTCTTTTTACCTGCGGCATGCATGTGTTCTCACTTGAACCAACTCATACATACATACATACATATTTCCATACATATATATGGGATCAAGTGTGAAGCTTCTCCCAGGTGAAACGTGTGGATTGATATATCATTTGATGTTGTCAAAATCAACAACCCAAAATGATGAACAATTTTTTTTAAAAAAACGTGATGATATTATGGTCATTTTGCATAAGGTCATAGCTTAAAGTGTGTAAATTTAAAACTTAAAGTACGTAAGTTTATTACTTAAGGTGCGTAAGTTTATAGCCTTAGGTGTCTAAGTTTAAATTTTAAGGTGCGCTGCTTAAGTTTATTGCTTAAGTTTTGTATGTTTAAAACTTATAATGCATTATTTTTCAGCTTAAGGTGCATAAATTTGAAGCTTAAGGTGTGTCAGTTTGAGACACTTGATCATTTACATCCATATTGCTACGAAGTGCATTTAAAAAAAAAATCCTTCAATTTGAACCGTTGATCTAGATTAGATCAACGACTCACATCTCACCCTATTTTTCACTTGGGAAAAACTTTGCACATGGACCAATCCCCTAAACCCATCATCCCTTTTGATGTAGATCTGATTGAGACTCACCATTTTAAAGTCACTTTATTCCCTTGTACCCAACAACAACAAAAATAATAATAAACTTTAACAAATAAGATAAGAGCTTGTCTTTGTCTCCGAGCAGAAACGAAGACAAGTTCTTCGTCTACAACGAAGACGAAGACGAAGAAAGGGGGGAAGGGGGAGGAGTGGCGTGAGACAGGTCCTTCGTCTCATGACACCCCCTTCTCCCCTCCCTCGTCTCCGTCGGAGACGAAGGATGAGGGGAAGGAAGTAGCCGACGGCCACCTCAATTTTTTTTATTTTTTTTAAAAATTTTTTTAAAGTTTATTATTAAAAATTACTTAAAATGTCAAATCAACTTCTACGTAAACAGGCAACGTGATGAAATGGATGGTAACCTTTTATCAAGTGAAATTGCATACATTTTGAGTGTTTAGTGGTCTAATTATATTTTTTTGTTGCCACTATATTTTCAAGTTAGGTTCAATGGCCAATTTGAATCTTATTTATCATAAGATTAATATTAAACATCAGTGTTAGACACTTGCTTTAATTTACCAATTAGGTTTTAAAAAAAAATGTTATACGCATATTAGGGACGTAAAATTCAAGAATGACATAAAAATCCCTGCAGACATAAAATTATAGCCGTCTTCTCCTGTTTGATTATAGCCGTATAGGTACTGCGAGAAGATTCATCATCTTCCCAATTTCTTGTCAGCAATCACTATACACCATCCCCCCAAAAACAACTTATCACTTCACTTCTTTAAATATATATCTATCAATCTATATATAGCCTAAAACCAAAGCTATACTATATATTCTTCCATCTCTTAGCTTGCTTCATTATATTCTATATGCTATATATACACATCAATATCTTCATATATCCTGGATAGCTTTGATTTTTTCTTCAAGAAAATATAAGTTTAACTGAGGAATAGTTGTATAATATATATAATGGGGTGCAGTGGTTTCTTGCCTTTGTTTGTTATGGTGATAGTTCAGCTAGGATATGCCGGAATGAATATTGTAGCGACGGCGGTGATGGGCGCCGGCATGAATCCCTTCATCCACATAGCTTACCAGCAAATGTTTGCCACCATTGCCCTCGCTCCCTTGGCTTATTTCTTGGAGAGGTATAGTATCATCTTACATATTTTTATGAGTTAATTCCACAGAGCTCACTTGTTTTTGATGGCAATTACAAATTTAGTTCCAGAGTATCGTTTTTGTCATTTAATATCCAAGACTATCATTTTTGTCATTTAACATCTCAGACTATTGTTTCTTTGGACACTTTTAGTCCTTCTCATAACTTTTTCTATTTTTAGTAAGGGTATTTTTGTCTCTTCATATTTTTTTTTTTGTTATTTTTCTGATTTCAACCGGTATAAATGGTTTAGGACTTTACTAAAAATCCGTTGAAAAATATGATTACTACAAATCAGATGTTACCTAAAGTTCTAAACCAATTAAACCGGTTAAAATTGGAAAAATAACAAAAGAAAAATATGAAAAGACAAAAATGCACTTACTAAATATAGAAAAAGTCATGAGAAGGACTAAAAATATCTAAAAAACAATAGTCTGGGATGTTAAATGACAAAAACAATAATCTGTGACTAAATTTAAAATTGCCATCAAAGACAATAGATCTTTGGTGGAATTAACTCTATTTTTAAATTATAAACTATTTTCTCTACTAAGGCACTAATATATACCATGCATCTACCTAGAAACAAGCATATGGTTATAAACTTACGTTCTTGCTTGAGCCAAAAGTAATTTTCTTAAATTATTGTTGATTATAAAAGTAAATATTAATCAATGATAGCATGCACTTCCATATTTTAAGAATACTCAATAATGATCAGTGGCCTCTTTTATTCATATTACTTTACCGTATATTCTTTTGCCAGTTGAATAATCAACACTCAGCAAAAAGAGAAATTTTAGTGTTTTATGTTTTTTTAATAGATTCAGCTTCTTGATTGGGCTAGCTTTTTGCGTCAATCTTATTGCAGGAAATCAAGGCCTAAAATGACACCCAACATATTTTTCCAGATCTTTCTGGCCTCCACCTTTGGGTATGCTTTACATTTATCTACTAGAATAACATTAATATAAATACAACCTGGGTACGGTTGAGTGGGAGAGACTTATCTATTATTAACCAAAGATTAAGGGTTCGATCACTGGCTTTGGATATGGAGCAGCCTTAAATCTCCATAATCAACTGTTCCACCCAAAAGAGGTGCCTCCAAGGCACTGTGTTGGCTTTGGATATGGAGCAGCCTTAAATCTCCATAATCAACTGTTCCACCCAAAAGAGGTGCCTCCAAGGCACTGTGTTTGACGGTGAAAACCCTCAGTATACTAAAAAAACATTAACATAAATATACAAAAAATGATATTTACCCCTCATAAATTCCCTCCTGATGTGGCTCGTGGCTTCTACGTGTGATGACACATGTGTTACCTTCTAAATGGGTGGTTACATGATTGAACCTCCGTGATAGTGGCGGGAACATTGATTCTTGGGGTTTTGGGCTGAAAGAAATTCGAGAAAGTATAGAATATATACTACCTTGTAAAGAATTATGTGTGTTTAAAAAAAAAACCATAATTTGAAGGGAAAAAATGATTTTTAATTTTGATCTTGAGTTATGTCTCAAAGTATAATTTGGGCTTCATTGTTTGGACAACTACGACGTCGTACGGCACATATATTGTGTTGCCACAAATGTGCAGGCTTACAGGGGACCAAATCACCTACTTTGTAGGCCTAAACAATTCCACTCCAACTGTTGCATCTGCTTTGGTAAACTTAGTACCCGCAATCACATTTATCGCTGCAGTCCTATTTAGGTAAGTTCATTTATTTTATAGGGAAATTACTATTTTGGTCTCTCAATTATTTGAGTTAATCCTATTTTTGATTTTAAATTTTTAGGTGACAGTTTACTTTTAGTCTTTTTATATCAAAACATCCCTTTATGGTCTTAGTATTATTGTGACATAATCAATTTTAGTCCTCTATCTATAAAATCGTTGAAATTTCGTTAAATTGAAGGACATTTTGATCTTATTAATACAAAGTGCGTTGCCCCGTTATATTTTTTGTATTTTTTTTTTTGAAAATATTCATAATTGAAGAGCAAAATGCTCTTATATTTAACGATTTTTCAACGATATTTTTGATAAAGGACTAAAATTTGTTATGTCACAATAATATTAGGACCAAAAAAGGATGTTCTGACAAAAAAGGACTAAAAGTGGACTGTCACCTATAAATCTAAGATAAAAAATGGAATTAACTCAAATTATTTTATCATTGTCAATTTAGTACTTATTTATTACTTTGAACAAATTTAATTCTCCAATTGTTTTAAATTTCGTCAATTAAATCCATTTGGCACTATTCTGTCACTCAGTCATTAGTTGCTCTTATTTGAGTGTGCACTTCTTGGTCGTGTGACCAAGATGTAATTAAACATACATTCTGGTTACAAGCGAGAGTCTACATTTTGGCATAGCTGAGAAGTAAGTTTACTTTTCGGAAACTCAAACAAGGACAACTAACGGCCAAATGATGGCATAGTGGCAAAGGTAGAGATTAAATTGACAGATTTTAAAATGATTCGAGGATCAAATTCATTGAAATTGAAATATATGAACTAAATTGACAGTTGCAAAAACGATTAATTGTAGAAAATTTAAATTTGAAAATGAATTTATTTGTGTTGGAAGACTTGAAAGCGTGGGCCTAAGAACGAAGGTCGGACAAGCAAAGGTTTTGGGGACCCTAATATGCATTGGTGGGGCGATGTTGCTAACGTTGTACAGGGGACACGTGGTCATCGGCCAGTCCTCCATTCACTGGAAATATGCAAAAAATACAGTGGACAAGAACACTTCTAGCAGCCATGGAAATGTGATTTTGGGACCTATTATGGTCATTCTCAGCTGTTGTTCATATACTGCCTTCCTAATTACCCAAGTAAGCTCAAACTATTATTTCCCTGCATCTTCAATTCGTTTTTCATTTCACAAACAAAAACAATTGCGCGACTTGCGATTTATCAAAATGTTAGTCAGTAATCTATATTTTAATATCATTAGCCCCAACAATAATTTAGATTAAGATTGACGCATTATTATGCACCTTGTGTTTAGATGTCACTTTTGTGGTTCCCCTTGAGAGTGTATCACCGGATGGAACCCTAAATCTTGGAGATTCTGGATTAATTAAACATTTGAAAACCCAAAAAGAAATAAAAAAGTTTAAGATAAGATAAACTCAATTACATTTCCTTTATGCTTTTACTTTTATTAATACTTTTGGTGTTTTTTTTTTTTTTTTTTTTTTTCCTGTTTTTTAAATTAGGCAAGGTTGAGTAACCAGTATGGAGCTCCATACTCTAGCACAGCTTTAGCATGTTTGGTGGCATTTTTTGAGTGTGTGATAATTGCCTTGTGCGTTAATCACAGCATTTCTGATTGGATTTTGACTCCCATGAGAGCTGTCTCCACCACTTACAATGTAAGAAGATTAACTTCTAGTTAATACTCCGTATCTAATTTAGTCTTCAACTACAGTGATTTTTATCAATTTAGTCTTAAATAATTTTTTTGTATTTAATTAGGTCTCTGACTTTAATGGTGTTACCTAATTGAGTTATCTGTTAAGATAGATTGATAATTTCACCTCTATTAATATTCAATTCAGTCATGGACTATAGTGATCTTATCCAATTGATTCCTCAACTATAGTGGTTTTTATTGATGTAGTCTTTGATTCTAACAGTCAACAATTAGATTGGATAAAACCATCGATGTTTTTTTTAAATCAATGTTTTTTTTTTTAATTCATTTTTCATATTCTCTGTTTTCCATTTCTTCAAAAAGATGAACTTTTTTTTTTTTGCAGTTAATAAATGTTGGTAAGGTTGAATATCTGTTGTCTCATATTTTGTTAGGGACTTGTGTATTCTGCCCTTGCAATCTGCCTCACTTCATGGTGTATAGAGAGGAAAGGCCCTTTATATGTTGCGGTGTTCAACCCTTTGTTGCTTGTTCTTACTGCCATTTTAAGCTGGGCTTTTCTTCGTGAAAAAATATATACCGGCACGTAAGTACATATAAAATTATCGATCATATTAACTCTCTTTAATTTCTTGCCTTAAAAAAAAAGAAAATTTCTTTCTATCCCCACTGCAACTATCAAGGCTCAATCATATGTCTTTACCCATCATCTATCATTCAAAAACCAATTAAATTAACCATGGAGGCACACCATACGTACAAAATAATATTATAACAAATTTAATTTAACTCAGAAATTCCTTTTTATTGGTGGCGAGGGAAACTGCAGCCACTACCCGGGGTTATGCACTAGGTAAGCAAATGACCATAAGGAGGTAAAAAACTTAGTTTGTTCATAGCTGACCGGCTCAAATTAAGAAAGCAAATAGGCCACAACAGCAAGAGCTGAACTTGTAATTTTATAGTTACCAAGTTTTGCTAACAGTCTGATCAATTTGTCTGAGGTTGCCGGAAAATTCCTATTTTTGGATTGCACTCATGTAGAAGATTCCATTAACTTTTGGAAAGACGATCCGATCCATATAAATCTCTTCCTTTAATTTGTATGGCTAGCTTCAATTAAGATAGAAAAAGATGTTTTAATTTTTGTATTGGATTGCAGAGTGGTGGGATCAATCCTAATTGTGGTGGGACTCTATATTGTGTTGTGGGGAAAGAAGAATGAGTTGCAGGTGATTAATGTAGAAGATAACAACAAATTGAAGGAGAATGATGCAGAGGAAATAGAAGCTGGAGAGTGCTGATCGAGATGGATCGAGTAACCAGCTTTTTCATCTGCAGATTAGTGTCCAACAAATTAAAATAGGGCATTAAGGCAAAAGTAAAATTAGGGCTTAGTTTCAAAGATCAGATCTTATTGTGTTGTGAATTGTAGTGATGATGATGATCACTCCTAAGATAGGTGGGAAGTGAAGTACCACCAAGGAAAAGGAAGGATTGATCATGATTTCGCATCACTTAATTTGATATTATGAATTCTATATTATTTTAATGTTCGAATAAAATTATTTTTGTTGGCCCATTTTGTTGTCTTAAATTATTGACAAAATTATAAATTCCAATCACAGTTAAAATGGATGAATCAAAGACCAAGATAAAATGAGAATACAAGTCTCCGTCAATGTAGAAAAGCACATTCTCATGCGGACTAAAGATAATGGATCTCTTGAAAGGCTATATAAAGATCTCTCGTCAAGAAGGAAAGACGTGCTTTCAATTCCCTATCTTCTGTTCTGAGAGCTGAGAAGTATTGAGAGAGAATTTTACTTAAGAATAGTACTAGACTGAGGTTTCAATTGAGATTGTGTAAAAGTGTTCCCAAACTCTGTACTTTGAAATCGTGCTCATAGTGGGTTTATGCTTTTTCTCAATACGAGAAGTGCCCCGCAGATTAAGGATTCCCCGAATTGTGTTAAATATTTTTTTGTATCAATTAGTGTTATAAACCGTCATGCGATCCTCACAAATTTTCAATTGGTATCAAATCAAGGCTGCTTAAGTTACTAGTAGAAACGTGATGGATTTCCCCATAGAAGGATTATTAAAACAGTAGACCCCCTACCCTGCATAGTGAAAATTATTCTTACTAGAAAGCAAGCATGAGAATATACATACAATCCCAAGGAGAAAGAGTCTAGCGATCTATAAAAAGGGATGGAGTCCTCTAACAGACGAAAAGGGAAACTTGAAAGACAAAGAGGGCTGGATAATATTAAAAGCTTAAACCGAGCCTAAGAATTTTTTTTTTATTTTTTTTTATTTTTTTTTTTTTTTAACTTTCCTCTCTATTTCGCCATTTCTATATCCATGGCGCTACCTGGTGTTGTTGCCACTACAATTGTAACACCCCACTTTTCTTAAATCTAAATCACAACACTTAACTTCCAAAAGATTAACTAAGCAAGATTAAGATAATATTAAAAGTTTAAACCGAACCAAAAGGGTGTCACCACACACGATGACTGCACAGGTTAAGAAATGTGCTAATTAGAGTCAAGCTCATCACAAAACTACAAATATCCTTGGGGAATACAACCCCTGTGTCCAACACCATCAAAAGGTCAACATAGTAACTAAACTCCCAAGTTTAAACATTAACAACTAGAACAAGTCTGAACTAACAACTCATAACTACGCTCCAAACTATCTCGAGCGCGCTCAAACACTTGGCCCACCTGAAAGGGGTTAACAAAACAAGCAAATAGAAAAATAACCCGTTAGCACGAATGCTAAGTATAACGCCACTCAACCCTGTAAAGTACTATAGATATAGATTTGAAAATCATTTGACAAACACACTTAACCTCAAGTACTTTCAATCTCATAAACAACAACTTAGATCATGCTCAACAATAATTCTATATGCTTGCACCCTAATCAACAAGTAGGCATGCCTTCTCAAGTATTCAATTTAACATAGATCTCATGCTTTAACTGATATTTCTAATCAAGACGAAATACTCAAATTCAAGCTCAAAACTAATAGATAAAGATGCTTAAACTTAACGAACAAACTCATGCTATCAGGTCAATTATTAAACAACATCACAGTGTTATACTTCTCATCAAACTTTAATGCTAAACATGCAAAATACGCAATAAGATGATCATGATGCTTTATAGATATATATAGATATGTATATACTCTCGCTCTTTTATAAAAAGAATATTACTTATGTGGAGGTTTTTGTTGAGTCACATTGACTCGCTTTTTCTCTTCTTTCTCTTGAGTCACATATACTCACTTTCTTTCTTTCTTTCTTTTGAGTCAAATAGACTCACTTTCTTTCTTTCTTTCTTCACTCGTGGGCGAGGTAGGAACTTCACCAAAATGTGAACGAACCTATCTGGGCTAGGCATCTAGCCGACATAATACTCATCTCGCCCACAGAACCACTCTCTTGGTTCTTTTCTCAAACTCCGTGCAATCAGGTATCGTACTTGTCAGTGTGCACACCCCCTAACCGGGACTCTTAGCCCGGCAGGTAGTATCCAACCTAGAAACGTGGGAATACGCCTCATTACTTCACATCGGATCGCAATGTCCGTTTCTTTCCTTCCTCAAATTTTCTTTCTTTCTATTTTCTTCTGAAAGGACATAGTCATGACGGGCCTCCAAAACACTATTTTCTCACTATATATATATATATATATATATATATATATATATCATATGTAACTTCTTTCTCATGCAACTTCTTATGGACATAATTCTCAACAATTTCTCTTTCTCACATTTTGGAAATCAAATATCATGCAAACTTCTCAATGCAACTAGATAATGATTTTTCAAAATAGATATAGGTTTTTGAAAGAATATTTAGGCTTACTTAGAGCCAATAATGCACTTTAAATCATGAAATGCTAAGCATGTTCTTACTGTAAAAGTAATCTCAACTTCTCTTTCACTGTGAAACAGGGGAAATAAAGTACTACTTCATGCTCATAACTCAATACTTAGCAACTCTTCTTAAGAAATACTTAACAAGTATTGATCATGCTCTTTATGCTCAAAATATACTTCAAACTCCAATAATTCACTTTACTGTAAACAAGAAAATCATGTGCTGGATATATCCAATTTCTCACAATCTTTGCAAACTTCTCAACAAATATTTAAGTATGCTTCTCAATCACATAATCAAATAATGATCATGCTTCTCTTCTCAAATAATAAAACTCAGATACTTCAAATTTCCTTCATTGTAAAACATTTACAGAACACAACAAGAGCAAATCCCACCACAAATTCTACTGTAAAACATGTAATCTAACTCCGAATTCAACGAAATCAACTTCTACTAGTGCGTCGTAACGAACCCGAGTGTCTGAGCCTCAAGGGCCCACGAGTCCCGATCCGAACGACACGTAGCTGAGCCACAGGGGGCCCGGCCAGAAACCTTTCTGGCTTGGCGGAGCTTGGTGATGTGAGCCTAATTGTGCATATTTCTAGTATTAGTTTTAATGTATTTGTTAGGCTTAAGTTCATGAATTTGGTAATTTAATTGTATAATTCCTTGTTTTATCACTAAGATATGGTTTTACACTTGATTTGAATGTTTTACGTTGTTTGTTAGTGTTTTGGAACTATTATAGATCAAGTGCAAAAGCAATGGAAGTTCTAAGACGAGTTTGGAGCCAAAACAAAGTCAATGTGAGGCTAAGGAGGTGGCATAAATACTTCAAAAGGGAGCCAAAGAGTGGTGTTTTCAATGGTCTTAATCACTTGGGCAAACCGAGACAAAAGTGGAGCAATCACTACACCAAATAAGAGATTTAGCGGCGGTTTTTTTAATGTTTAGCGGCGGTTTGCAACCGCCACTATTATGTTTCCCGGCGGTTATTGAACTGTGGCTAAATAGAGTGTCGCGATCGATTTAGCGGCGGTTTTCAACAACCGCGGGAATTAATGAAAAACTCGTTTCGCGGCGGTTTTTAATGTATTTAGCGGCGATTTTGTAACCGCCGCTAATAAGTAGTTATTTTTATTTAATGTTTAGCGACACTTACATAACCGCCACTAAATATATTTTTTATTTTTACATTAAATTGTAGCGGCGGTTTTAAAACCGCCGCTAAATTATGCTTTATTTTTAAAATTATTTTTTATTTAATTGTAATGATATTTTTGAACTGCAATTAAAACTTTTCATTAAATTTTATTTTTTATTTGTATAGTTCTCATTAAATTACGTTTTTTCTTGTAAATCTCTAAATTCAAATTTGCATTGCAACCACAAACAAACTCTATATACACATTCAATTGAAAAGAAAATCAATTGTAACAAATATTTGTCAAATAATATCAAACAATATTCAAGTACAATTGTCTACATATTAATTGAAATGTGCATACATAACTAAAAAGTATTTTTACATGAAAAATATAAAGCAACATAATAGTTTATTCAATATGACGATTTCATGCAAAATGAAATTGCCCATTTACATCATTACTAGACGATGAATATCATTTTTCACCCTTGATGAGAATTGATAAGTCATGAATTATATCATTTTCACCCTCGATGAGAATTGGTAGTCAAGAATTTTTCTTGTAGTATTTTGAATCTTCGAGAAGCATGGCACGGGTGGTATAACAACCTGAATTGCTTTCCTCTGAATGGTTCATATAACATCCTGTTTTACAACCTATAGCCTGTATAACTAACAAACAATATCATCAACTCAGTTTTTTCAAATGATTACAAAAAAACAAGCTTTCTTAAGACAAATAAAATACCTCAGACAGATGAATCTGATCAGGGAAAGCTTTCTTAAGACAAATTAAATTAATTTAAAAACCCCAAAAGCTCAATTCCAGCTTCCGAATACCTACATTTCCTGTTTAAGTATGAGAGAATGTGAATAACACAATGGATTTTGAAGAATCAGTAAAAGCATTTTTTTTCCCACGACATTGTTATAGCTCAAAGATATGCAAACTGCTAAGAAGTCAAACATAAGGAATATGGTACAACAGACGTACCAGCTTTATCAGAAGATGATAGACACATGATGATCATGCTGAATCTTGGGACCTTAGGCAGATTTCCAAGTACCTAACAGCCAAATCTTCATCTTTCCTGCTCATTAGAAGAAAAGGTATCTAGGTACTAAGTTTGTGGTAATGGTAACCTGAAATGGTGAAATCACCCTTCTTCTTACATGAAAAATGTGGCAATACACCGAGCAATGTCCATAAGCATAGGCATAGGTGCAGACAATGTATTCTTAAATATCTGAGGTAATGCTGTGGGTAAGTTACCTGAACTGATTATAATATAAAAGGTGAGCAGTAGAAAGGCATAAAACCAATGCAGTCTAAATGGTATAAAGTATAAACAGAGTGAAGCTTGAGACTAAAAGAAGTAAAGAAGAGTGCATTAGAGGAGACCTTCAGTATTTAACTTGTAGATTACAGTCACAAGAAAGTCCATGCCAAGAAACCTCGAATTGATATGCTGAATTTGTTGGTGCAATATATTTTGCAGCTACAACTTTGGCATAACTAGCTGCTCGGGCAGCAAGCTCTTGCACAGACTCCTTCAGCTCTTGTCTATCACTTTTTCAATTTCTCTGTGGAAATTACAGGACGGTTGAGGCCACAAAACTCCTTTCTGTATTGAAAACACATAAGAAAATATTGAAATCTAAAAGAGCTTGTATAGTATTATTTCATTATCATTATTATACAAGGCTTGAAGACCAAACCTCTGCAGTAGCCAAAGAAGAATTTGGATTTTGGATTAGCATCTGACTCTTTTGTGTCAAGTTCCATAGGACTAGCTTCAATGTTTATGGAAGGCTTTGCAGGAAGAATTCTCTTACTTCCCTGCCAAAGAGCTGACATTTCAGCTAGTTTAAGGAAACTGAGAAAATGAATCCATTTATTATATGTTCACTGCTATTTCTAAAGGGAATTTTGAATTTTCTCTTGCTAATTATACATTGTAGAGACACTAGTCCAAACAAATGAATTAGATGTGCCTTGTGGCCTATTATCCTTATTGTAGCACCTCAAGGTAGTTAAACATAGAACGAAATCCCCTAGACGAGAAATTTTCATACTAGAACAGTATACCAAAAGGTGCAAACAACTAAAAATAAATCCAAGCATCTAGTGTTTTCCCATGAACCAAATCCAGGTTTAAATTTAATGTAGCATTCCCCCATTTAAAATCCAAAAGACCAATACTTATTCAGGATAACAACCTAAGTAAAAGTTACCTGAATTTCTGTTACCCGCTGAGAACTGCTCGAGACAGATTGAACAGTGGCCTCAGATTTCTTCATCTCCTCTTCTGATTTTACAGATTTGTGTGTCCTTTGAACAGATTTTTTTGGTTGATCCAGATACTTTCTTAAGATTTTCCTGTTCAGATTGATTGAACTGAGTCAAATAATTATAAATAAAATATCAAATATGAATAATATAGCACTTAATTACCTTGGACCTGCGAACAATGTCGACAGATCGGAGCTGAGGGCACAACCGCGACCTTTGACGATAACGACGACGGAGGCCGCAGCGGTGACAACAGCGACGACTGTGACCTGCTTTACGAAAACAGGCGACGAATCCGACGATTGAGCTGAGTGCGAAGAAATTTCCGGCGAACTTTGCTACAATTGTTGTCTCAGACGGCGAAGAGAAGGAAGGAGGGAGGGGATAAGGAGAGATAATAGGGATTTGAACAGAGGGAAGAATGAGAGACTAACACTTATTTAGCAATTTAGCACGATATATACATCACACAGTAAGTTAGCCACTTATTTTTAGTGGCGGTTTATATAACCGCCGCTAAATACTTATTTAGCGGCGGTTGTAACAAACCGCCACTAATATTTTGTTGCTAAATGATTGATTTTTTGTAGTGAATAGAGCAATAAGTAAAAATTCTCGCACAGATTGGCGACAGTTTGATTTTGGGACTATATCTCAGCCTAGGAATATCCAAATGAAGTGATTCTTGCGCCATTGGAAAGAAGACTCGAAGGACTACAACTCTTATGAAGACATCAAAGCCCAGATCTGAACGGAAAATGGTCAAAATCAGCCTGCAAGACGGACCTACGACACAGGAAATTCTCGACGCGTCGAGAATTTCCTGTGTGCATTCTGAAATTCGAGGATTAACACTCGACGCGTCGAAAATGGCGGCCCAGGCGCGATTTCGACCCAGTTTTGCGCAGAAAATTCCTATTTCCTCTGGGATTAATTCCTACTATAAAATTCCCCCTTCCTCAACCCTAATATTCATTCAGAGATCTTTGGATGCACGAAAGGGGAGAAAATCAAGAGCCACGAGTCAACTTGGGAAGCAAGAAGAAAGCTAAGGAGATTAGGGAAAATCGCCTGGTTCATTCTTGTACTCTCTTTGATGATTTTTAATTCGTTAAATATATTTGCTATGTATAATTTAGCCATGCTTGGCTAAATTCTTTAGAGATTCTTGGGTAAAAGTGTTTATGAACCTATATGCCTGATCTCTCAGATTCTTTAATATATTATTATTTGGGGTTAATACTTGTGTTGCAATTGTGTTTATCATTCTTGTTGCTAGTAGTTTAGGGCCCGAATTACTTGCTTCATAGCTTTGTTTGTGTCACAACAAGAGTTGGGCATAACTTAGGGCACACACAATTGCACCTAACTGTTGGACCTTGAGAAAGGGTAATTTTGTTAGGGAGTTTAATTATTGATTATTGCACATCGAGAGATGGTAGTAGTTAGGAATTTATAATGATGCTTGTTCTTGTTTTATTGGGTGTTTATACCACGAGAGTGGATTTTCACTAGTGTTAGTGACTACGAGAGTAGCTCTATACCACTTTGCATCCTCACACCCGTTTAAACCCATATTTAATATTACATTGTTAGGCAATAGGTGATTAAACACTTGAATCCCAGGAATCTCATTCTCTCTCTTCTTTTGTTTTCAAAACCTGAATCATTGCTTTAGTTTATTTATTTATTTGCATCCTTCACTCATAATCATTAGGATTAGCTTCTCGTGAATAAATTAGCAATTGATGCTTAATACCCCACTTCCTTGTGGATCGATAACTCGTTACTCAGAGTTTATTGTTTGAAAATATACTACAATCACTTGGTGACAAAGCCCCGCCACTTGAGTCCACCAAGTAGCAGCCCTCGGCAGCGGATCTTGCCATGATCCGTCCCCTGGAGCCGTTGCTCCACGGTGCTAGCCGGCGGACCTCCTTGTGGTCCGTTGGCTAGTACCGTGAGGCCATCTGGTGCACCAGACAGTGTGCACCAGAGCCTTTTCTTCACCTGTAGACACATCCAGTGCAATCCAACACTCCCAAAACTTCACAAATCCATCATAGATCAACAATATCTCACAAGTAGATCAACAACAACAATAATCTAACATTTATAAGCAACTATTTCTCATTTCTAACACGTTAACAGAGTCAAAATAAAGTTGGGAGTCCATGGGTTATACCTCAGCTCTCTGTTCTTCCTTGTGTGGATCCCTTCTTCTTCCCAACTCAACCACTACCCCCTTCACCACCTAAACACCTCAAACAAACCAAACAACAACACTTAAGAATAGAATCTCAGAGGTTGGAAGCAAAAGAGTAGAAGCTAGATGGAAGGAATGATGAATGGATGAGAATGGAGCCTAGTAAACTTACTGTGTTTCTCCCTTCTTTCTTGCAGAGCTCAAGGTTGGAGAAGACAAAGAATGAAATCAGGAGAAAAGGCTTGTTTACTATTCCTTTTATATGGGTTCAAAATCCTAGGATGATACTCAATGATTGGTGGAGGACAAAGTAGTATTTTGGTTGATTTTCAAAAATATCAGACAAGGGAGTAAAAGCTTATGGTCCACCTTGCTACATGGACCATGGTCTAGAAAAATGATTTTAAATGTTTGGGGTCAAAAATAGATTTTTTTTCAAAAACGTTTTCTAGTTAAACTGTAACACCCCACTTTTCTTAAACCGAAATAACAAACTTAACCTTGAAAGATAAACTAATCAAGCGAAGCAACTTACTAAACAAACTTAATAGAGGTGTCACCGCCACAATCACCCTTCACAGTAATTGCACAGGCAAAGGTTAAACAAGCTAAACCATTTAAGTCTTACTAACATTAAAACAAACTAGGGGATAAGACCCAGTGTCCAGCACCATCAAAACAAAAGGGAAAGTCAACTACAAGTCTAAAAAACAACCATCAAGAGTTTAGACTTCAACTAGCTTTTCTATGCTAATCTAGTCTAACTCGTACTCTCTCACGAATTGGGTCCTCTTGAAAGGGGTTAACAAACAAAAAGTAGAAAACAAACCCGTTAGCACGAAGCTAAGTATAACGCCACTCAACCCTATAAAATACTACAGTATATACTTTTGGAGAACATTTGGTTCACATACTTAGATCAAGTATTCTCAATCACTTAAGCAACAGTTAAACATTCTCATTAGGGTTTCTATATGCTTGCAACCTAATTATCAAATAGGCATGCTTTCCCAGTTCTTAGCTTATCAACAATCTCATACTTTCACATACTTGACTTATCATGGCGATATACACTGATCATACTCAACTGGTGGTTAATAATATACTTATACTTTATCAAGCAATTGTTGGAAAAAATGTTTGTAATCTGTAATACATTTGAAATACAACAAAATACAGAAAACAACAGGAAACAAAAACTGGATCATTTGATATCTTCAGGCGTGTAATCACTTTCCTATAAGCTTTAAATCTCCCTCTACAAAAGCAACAAGGTTCAAGATTTAATCTTATGGGATACAAGAAGATGAATGAAATTCTTAAGTTGCTTTGTTTAAAAATTTCCTGTAGAATTGTAGAACTGTGAAATATCAAGATTAGTGCAAGTTTATTGCATGTTCTTGTATTACCATCTTCAGATGTTTCTCCAAAATATTTATAAATGAAAATATGACTGTTGGAGAAGTTACATGGAAGTTTTCTGCAGTTTTAAAAACTTATCTTCCATAAAATATATCTTAAATGATATATTTATCATAAGAGAATATTAATTATATAAATCATGTTCAACATGAATATATATATATATATATATATATATATATATATATATATATATATATATATATATATATATATATATATATATATATATAATTATGAACCTTTGTAAGATTGTGAACCGCATGCAAATAACTGTGCAAATATATTTATATATATATTATAATTTTCTAGCACACTTTTGCATGTAAGTTTGGGAAATTGGAAGCTTATGTGTTGTATAATCATTTTCCAAATGAAACACACAATTCCCCTATATTGGGGAATAATCTCCAATGTTGGGGAATAATTCCCAATGTTGGGGAATAGACAAACTCTTCCAACAAACTCATTCTCCAATTAACTTTCTACCAAACTAAAATAATATTTATAACTCCTCAACTCCAAATATTATTTTAAGTTTTCATGGTAGTCCATCTGAAACATTAATCTTCAACCTTTCATGGTAGTCCATCTGAAACATTGATCTTCATTACTATATAAATTTCCAACAACAATATCATGCTAACATATATCTCAATAAGCAATCTAATGCTAACATATATCTCAATAAGCAATCTCATGTTATCGTATAAATCAATAAGCAATATCATGCTATCATATAACTCAATAAGCAATCTCATGCTATCATATAACTCAATATGCAATCTCATGCTATCATATATGAATGGAAGATAATATAATATCATGCTTCTTATCTCACTTCTATGCAACATGTGCAACTCATTTAATCATGCAATAAGATGAACATGATGCTTTAATATAAGTATAGATAGATATACATATACACTCTTTTGTAAAAAGAATACTTTTCCTGTGGAGGTTCCTTAGAGTCACACTGACTCGCTTTTCTCTTCTTTTCTAGAGTCTCAATGACTCGCTTTCTTTAAATCGAAATGACTCGCTTTCTTTAGAGTCACAATGACTCGCTTTCTTATACTTGTGGGCGAGGTAGGACTTCACCATAATGTGAATGGACCTATCTGGGCTTGGTATCTAGCCGGCCTAATACTCATCTCGCCAACAGAACCACTCTCTTGGTTCTTTTCTCAAACAATGTGGAATCAGGTATCGAACTATCAGCGTGCACACCCCCTGACCAGGATTTCAAGCCTGGCGGGCAATTTTCAACCTAGTAACTCTGGAATATCGACCTCGTTACTTCATATCGAATCGCAATGTTCGTTTCTTTCTTTACTTTCTTTCTTTCTCTTTCTTCCGAAATGACATAGTCCTAACGGGCCTCCAGAACCTCGGATTACTCACACTAGATACATATAGATATAGCTCATGCAACACTTTACTTATGCAAACTTATGCACATAGCTTCTCAACAACTTATCTTTTCTCACAAATTGGAAATCATTTATCATGCAACTACTCAATGTGACTAGATAATGATTTTCCAAAATAGATATAAGTTTTTGAAATAATACTTAAGCTCACACTGGCCACTTATGCACTTTAAAACATGTTATGCTCAAATATGCACTTTACTGTAAAATATGCTCCAAATCTCCTTGCATTGTGAACTCTCAACAATTGTCTAATCATGCTTATAAATCATAACTTAGCAAATCTTCTTTGGCAAACACTTAGCAAGTATTCAACATGCACTTGAACTCAAAATACTCAACAAAACTCATTCACTGTAATCTAGTATTCAAGAAGAACATGCTCTGCACACTTCAACATTTAGTTTTCTTGGCAAAATTCTCAACAAGTCATAATAGACATTTTAGGCATGTTTTTCTAGCAAAACTTAACAAATAGAGTTCATGCTTCTTAGTCTAACAATTAAATAATTGTTATGCTCTTCAAACAAATAACTAAGTCTAATGCTTCTCATTTTTATTCTCTGTAAACATCCTCAGACAAATACTAAGCATGAATCAATTCCATTTCTACTGTAAAACACTCATTTCAACTCCAAAATCAACCAAATCAAATTCTACTAGTGCGTTGTGACGATCCCGAGTGTCCGAGCCTTAAGGGCCCACGAGTCCCGATCGGAAGCAACACGTAGCTGAGCCACAAGGGCCCGGCCACTACACAGACTTTGCCTAGCGGGGCTTGAGGAGCCCCGCCGCTTGGAATCTCCAAGTGACGGCCTAGGGCCACGACTCTAGCCTTGAGTCGTGCCCTAGGGCCGCTCCTCCACAGGGCTTGCCAACGGTCCCTGCCTAGGGCCGTTGGCTAGTCCGGTGTCTCATTTGGTGCACACTGTTTTGTGCACTAGTGAGTTTCTTCTTCACCTGTAACTCAAAAACAGGCAACCAAACACTCTCAAATCGTCAACAACACATCATAGATCAACAATAGATCACTTAATAGCTCAAACACATCAATATTCTAGCATTTCCACTCACTTCAGCTAAACAAAAAGACTTCATAGAGTCTAAAAAGCTTATGGGAGTCCATGGGGTTATACCTTTGTAGATTTCTCCTTTTTGTTGGGATTCCACCTTCTTCCCAAGCTAGCTACACCCTCCTTCTCCTCCTAAACATCTCAAACAAACCATACAACAACCTTAATACTAAGTTCTCAGAGATGAAAGCTAGGAAGGAAAACTAGAAGAGATGAAATGCTAAGATGAGCTATGAAACTTTGATTTTTCTTGGATGTCTTGTAGAGCTTTTGGGGAGGAAGACAAGGTTGGGAATCAAGAGGTAAGGTCTGATAGTTTTCTTATTTATAGAGGCACAAAACCCTAGGAGAATCCACAATGATTGGTGGAGGGTAAAGTGGTAAAAGTTTGGGCTAAAAGGTTGTATCAGACAAAGTTTTGAATGCTTGTGGTCCACCATACTTCATGAACCAAGTCTAGAATCAAGATTTAAAATAGTTTTGGGGTTAAAATGAATTTCCCAGAAACGATTTCTAGGTAAACACTTGCTTTAGGCTTCTCCGATTTCACTCAGAATAAATCTTCAGTTCAAACTTGGCACGCAATGTACCCGGAAATTTAAGATTTTAGATTTAAACCATGTCCCGGTGTTGAATTTATTTAAAAGTGGCTCAAAATAATTTATTCAAACACCGATTATGTCGCAAAAATTTTTATAGAGTGAATAATGGCTATTTTGGAATTTCTTAAAACCGAATTTTATAAAATTAAATTTTGGGTTGTCACATAAACACTTGGTTCAGGTTTTTCAGATTTCTTCCGGTTTCACTCAGACTGACTTTTGGGTCAAAACTTGGTACATAATTTACCCGAGAATTTAGGATTTCTGAAATAGGATAAATCTCGGCGTTGAATTTATTTAAAAACGTGGCTTAAATTAATTAATTCAAACACCGTGAATAAAATAAAATTTTGGAAGAGTGAAAAATGGCTATTTAGGAATTTCTTAAAATGGAAATTTAGAAAATTAAATTTGGGTTGTCACAACAATCACCAATGAAATTGTCCTGCTTAATGCTTCATCAAACTTCCCTATCAAACTCAACCCCATCAACTTTCTTGTCTGGAGACGCCAAGTCCAGTCTACACTAATTGGCTTTAATCTCCTCGTCTACATTGACGGTTCTGTTAAAGAACTAGCCAAATTTAGTGATCCTGCACAAACCATCTAAACCCAGCACATTTAATTTGGTATCGCCAAGACCAAATAATCACCAGTGCCTTACTAGGGAGTTGCTCAAACACAACCCAACCCATTATAGCTTCCGCCTCAACAGTTTGTGATGCCTAGCAACGCCTCGTTGCTAGCTATGCTAGTGCCTATCGATGACAGATCATTTCCCTCAAGGCCAAGCTTACTAGAAACCCGAAGGGTGATCGATCAATTACTTCCTTTTTGAATGACATTCGGTCCATAACTGATGATCTCGCCTTGGCTCAATGCTCTATTTCTGATGACGACATGGTTGTTTATGTCTTAACACAACTAGGAGACGAGTATAGTTCTATCGTTTCTGTTGTTCATATCCGTGACAAGCCCATTTCTTTGGGAGAATTAGCCGATGTTTTCATGGATCATTAACATCAATTGAAGGAAGTCGATGATACTCGCCAGTCTCTACAGGATACTGCTAATGCCACCCAACGCAGTCTCTCGGCCTCCAGAAATAATCAACAGTCGACCACAAATCGGAGGTCCAGCAACAACAACAATACTTATGGCAATAATAGACAAAACTGGTCGCCAAATGATAACAACCGACCCGGTGTTGTGTGCCACTTTTGTAACTCTGTTGGCCATGAAACCCGTGTTTGCAGTAAGTTAACTCATTTTTTAAAGGAACATAACGTGTTTCCCATGCAGGCACCTCCGTCTTATCAGTCGCCTACAGCTAATTCTACCATTAGGTCGACTCCATCGTGGCTTTTTACAGCGGGGCTTCTCACCGCGTCACCCCAAATACGACTCCTCTACAGACCTTTTCTGAGTACAAGGGTCCCGATGAAATATGCCTGGGCGACGGTAATTCTTTAAAAATCTCTCATATTGGTCAGTCCACTATTCCCACTCCATCTTCCGTGCTCACTCTCCAAAATATCCTTCGTATCCCACAATTGCATAATAATTTAGTGTCTATATCTTAGCTGTGCAAAACTAATCAAGTGTCGGTTGAATATTTTGATTCCCACTTTCTTGTGAAGGATCTTCGAACGGTGATATCGCTACTATGCGGGGCGAACATTAATGGTGTCTAGTATGGACCACTCTTGAGTCAGCCCACAGTGAATTCCATGCACCTGTCACATGTGTCTGAGTGGCACCATCGATTTGGGCATCCATCCAATAAGGTGTCACATTGTGTATTTTTCTTGGATATTCGAACATACAATCGGCTTATAAATGCCTCGATTTTGTATCAAATCGGGTCTATTTGTCGAGGCATGTTCACTTTGTCCCTAATGTGTTTCCTTCTAGAGAGTTGCAGGTTAAGTTTAATGTGTTAACGGAGTTCCAGCCTTTCTGCCTACCACAACTTCTATTCAAGTCACCTTTGTCTTCCACAGGGTCGGCGCCTAGAGATGCATCCTGCTCGTCTGCGTTGTCCACTCATGTTGTGTCTTCATCCGCGTCTCGACTGCCGGATCGTACTACACCGCAGTCTGCCTCATCTGCGCAGACCAGGAGAAATAGTCCAGCGGCTTCCCGAAGTCCCTCGTTAGCTTCATCACAAACCAACCGTGTTTCGTTGCCTCCTCCATGCCGTTCGTCTCCCACTGTTACTGCCGACGTCCAACCACCCAGTCAGCCCATGCCTTCACAACCTATCACCACCTCCGATACTTTTCAACCACAAGATGCGTTGCGTCGCTCCACTAGACTACGTCGTCCTAACCCCAGGTACTCTGATTATGTTATCAATCTAACCACAGCCCATCCCTTGCCTCTCACTTTAGAACCTTCTACCGTCGCTCAGGCTTTGAAAGATGCTCTGTGGAAGAAAGCCATAGACGAGGAGTTTGACGCTCTGCACCATAACAAAACATGGCGTCTTGTTCCTCGCGGAGTCGGGGTCCCGATTAGCTGTAAATGGGTTTACTGTATCAAGCGTAAACCTGATGGCTCAATTGTTCGGTACAAGGCACGCCTTATTGCAAAAGGCTTCCTACATGCTACTGGCCGGGATTACTTTGAGACCTATAGTTTGGTTATGAAATCAGTCACTATCAGATTGGTTCTGAGTATCGCATTGAGTAACCACTGGGGTTTGCACCAATTGGACATCAATAACGCGTTTCTGCATGACACGTTACATGAGGAGGTCTATATGAAACAGCCTCCAGGTTATGTTGATCCTCTGTATCTAAACCATGTTTGCAGGTTAACAAAGGCTCTATACGGCCTTAAACAGACCCCGAGAGCCTAGTACCAGGAGCTCTCGTTGTTCTTGCAACGTTGTGGGTTCATTAAGTCACAGGCTGATGCTTCACTTTTTGTTTATTCATCCTATGGTATAATTGTCTATTTTTTAGTATACGTAGATGATATTTTGTTGAAAGGAAATAATACTGCCTAGCTTGATCGTTTTGTGCGAACCTTGTCAGCACAGTTTGCTCTTAAGGACCTTGGTACCTTACACCATTTTCTGGGTGTGGAGATCATCCCTACCGGTGATGGTGTTTTCTTGTCACAGAGACAGTATATTACTGGTATACTGACGCAGTTCAAGATAGATGGTGCAAAGAATGTTTCAACACCGTTGGCTGCTTCAAAGAAGCTAGTGTCGCTGCAATCATCTGATACTACGACTGATGCTACTCTATTCCGCCGCTTACTCGGTCTCATGCGGTATTTGGTGATCACACAACCGGATGTGGCATTTGTGGTCAATAAGCTCTCGCAGTTCATGCATGCACCCTCGGATTTGCATTGGCAAGCTGCTAAATGTTTGCTGCGTTATCTCAAAGGAACAGTTTGCCATGGGGTGTTCCTGCGCGTAGGTCAGCCTCTTTCGTTGCGGGTGTATACGGATTCAGATTGGGGAGGTTGTACCACCGCAGGCTGTTCTACTACTGCGTATCTGGTGTATTTGGGCAATAATCTAATTTCCTGGAAGTCTACGCGCCAGAAGTCTGTCTCACGGTCGTCTACGGAAGCTGAATATCGGGCTTTGGCGAATGCAGCAGCTGAGATTCTCTAGGTTAAAAATATGTTGCAAGAATTAAAATTGGGGCTAGTTGAGCCTCCGGTACTGTTTTGTGACAACCTAAGCGCCACATATGTTTGTAAGAATCCCGTGTTTCATTCCCGAATGAGACATCTAGCCTTGGACTAATTTTTTGTTCGTGATTTGATTACTAGTACACTGATTGTGCAACATATTCCTTCCTTTACTCAGCTAGCTAATCGTCTCACCAAGCCACTTGGATGTCACTTGTTTCTTCACTTTCGGTCCAAGATTGGTGTCTCCAACGGATCCTCAATCTTGCGGGGGGCGTGTTAAGCATATGAGTGGTTGAGGTTATTTTGTATTGTTTAAGTCATTCTAAATACATTCATGTTGACTAGTTATTAGTTGTAACTTCCTTTACTTCTTCTCTGTTGTATAGTATTTGTACTCTGATTAATTCTCTTAATAAACACAGTTCATACCCTCACAGTTTGGTCCTTACTTGAAATATTCATGATGAAAGTCACAGTTATCCAAGAGAGCACGGATCTGAACACATACAAACTGAGTGATCTGATAGGAAATCTCCCAACATATGAGCTAGAGATGTTTGGGAAACCTAGTATCAAAGGAGTAACCTTCAAAACAAGACAATAACCATATTCAGATATTGAGATCAAAGACATAGATGAATTAATAGCCCATGCCAAAATCCTCAATATAATTGATGAAAAATTCAACAAGTTCAAGAACAAGAATGAAAGTTTTTCAAATAACAAAGGAAACCACTCAAATGGACAAAATTAATCCATAGAGGTCAAAAGAAATGGAAACACAAGCCTAGAAGGTGCAGTGCTATGAATGCAAAGGATATTGATATATTCAGGTTGAATGTCCAACGTATTTAAAGAGGAAGAATAAAACCTATGTGACAACCTTAAGTGATTACTCAAATAGTGAAAAAGAAAATACCAACACAAACTTTGTAGCATCAATATGTGATATATAACAAAGAGTTGTTCAACAAACTGTTATCTATTGTATTTGCTAATTCGATAACTTAATTGAGTGCTAATTCTTAACACTTTGTGTGACAAACCAAACATCAATATACCATATATGAAATCATGATCAATCCTTCCTTTCCCTTGGTGGTACTTCACTTCCCACCTATCTTAGGAGTGATTATCACAATTCAGAACACAATAAGATGAGAGCTTCAAGCTAAGCCCTAATTTGGCTTTTGCCTTAATATGTGCCCTATTTTAATTTGTTGGACACTAATCTGTAGATGAAAAAGCTGGTTACTCGATCCATCTCGATCAGCACTCTCCAGCTTCTGTTTTCTCTGCATTATTCTCCTTCAATTTGTTGTTATCTTCTACATTAATCACCTGCAACTCATTCTTCTTTACCCACAGCACAGTGTAGAGTCCCACCACAATCAGGATTGATCCCACCACTCTGCAATCCAATACAAAACTTAAAGCATCTTTTTCTTTCTTGAGGTCATACAAATTAAAAGAAGAGATTTATATGGATCGGATCATCTTTCCAAAAGTTAATGGAATCTTCAACATGAGTGCAATCCAAAAACATGAATTTTCTGGGCAATTAAGTTGGTTAGATAGGTAACTTAGTAATTACAAAGTTATAAATTTGACTTTGAGCGCGTGCAGCTTATTTGCATTCTTGGTTTGAGCAGGTCAGCTATGGACAAATTAGACTATTTACCTTCTTGTGGTCATTTTTCAGCTAGAGTCATAAGATGGAGTTTAGCTAGTGCACACTCTTAAGCAATGTTGCAAAAATCGCGCCTAGGCGCCGCCGCGAGGAACGGCCTCCTCCGCGGCCGGCCGGCCGGCTAGGCGGTCTAGGCGGCCGCCTAACCGGCCGGTTCGGCGTTTTTTTTTTTTTTTTTTTTTTTTTTTTTTTTTTTTTGAAAATGTCGGAAAAGTTTCGGAAGGCATAACTTTTGACTCGGTTGTTCGATTTGGACAATTTTTTTTTTCAAATCGCGTATTTTTTCGAGATCTATGCCGAAGGCGGTTTGGTCCACTAATTTCTCAAAAAAAATGCTTCTTTAGCTCTTAATTTTAGTTTTTTTATGTATTTAGATGGTTTAAACAATCTTTTGAACACTTTTACAACCACTTCCGTAAATAATTTTTAAGAAATAACTATAGAAACCTTATGTTTTATTACTAAATTTTAAATTTTAAATTTTATTTTTAATTAAAAAAAAAATAAAAATAAAATAAAAAATCGGCGCCTAGGGGACGCCTAGCGTGTTTTGCAACATTGCTCTTAAGTAGTGGTTAGGGGTTTCCATCATCACCAAAAAAAAAAAAAAAAAAAAAAAAGGAGGAATTTCTAAGTTAAATTAAAGTTGTTATAATATTATTTCGTATGTATAGTATGTTTGCATCGCAATTTAGTTGGTTCTTGGGTGATAGATTGTGAGATATATAAGATTAAACTTTGATAGTTGCAGTGTGGGTGGATTCCTTGCGAGGGAAGAAATTTTACTTTTTTGGGACAAAAAATTCTGAAAAGCTAATATGATTGATAATTTTACATGTACTTACGTGCCGGTATATATTTTTTCGCGAAGAAAAGCCCAGCTTAAAATGGCAGTAAGGACAAACAACAAAGGGGTGAACACAGCAACATATAAAGGGCCTTTCCTCTCTATACACCAAGAAATGAGGCAGATTCGAAGGGCAGAATTCACAAGTCCCTAACAATCAGACAACAAATATTCAGCCAATAAGGAATAAAGTAAGGTGCATTTACTAACTTCAAAAAATGTTCATCTATTTGAAGAAATGGAAAACAGAGAATATGAAAAATGAATTTAAAAAAAAATATTGAGTTAATACTTAATTTAGTCATTTACTATAGTAATTTTTTTTTTTCCAGTTTAGTTCTAACGACTTTTTGTGCTTATTAATTAAGTTCTCGACTTTAATAGTTTTACCCAATCGAGTTCTCGACTATTAGAATCAAAGACTAAATTGAAAAAAAAAAAAAAAAAAAACACTATAGTTGAGGAATAAATTAAATAAAATTACTCTAGTTGAAGACTAACTTAGTTAAAATCACTATATATAGTCGATGACTGAATTGAGTAGAGATAAAATTATCAAGTTATTTTAATAAATGACTCAATTAGTAAAAATCATCAAAGTCTGAGATTTAAATATTTAATTAAACACAAAACATCATTTAAAACTAAATTAGATAGGGAGTATGAAGTAGTTAATCTTACATTGTAAGTGGTGGAGACAGCTCTGATGGGAGTCAAAGTCCAATCAGAAACGCTATGATCAACGCACAACGCAATTATCATACACTCAAATACTGCCAGGAAACATGCTAAAGCTGTGCTAGAGTATGGAGCTCCATAATGCTTACTCAACCTTGCCTAATGTAAAAAATAAATAAATTAAAAACACCAAAAGGATTAATAGAAGTAAAAGCATAAAGGAAATGTAATTGAGTTAGTCTTTTTTCGTTAACTATTTTTTTGGGGTTTCAAATGTTTTTTTTTTTTTTTTTTGAAAACGGGTTTCAAATGTTTAATTAACCTAGAATCCCAAGATTTCGCAATCTTAATGTAAATTATTATTGGGGCTCATTATTTGTTTTGGGTGTATCTAGTATTTCCACTCTTCTGACACATTGATTAATCCCTTCGCTGTATTGTAGGGCACCTCTTTTGAGTGCCTAAAGCCAATAATCAAACATTGACCTTTAATTAAGGATGGATAAGTCTCCTCTACTCAACCGCACCCCAGGTTATTAGGGCTCATGATATATATTAAAATATATCTTTCATCTCAACAAAAATTAGAGTAATTTCAATTTTAGTTCCTAATTAGTGTGACATTTTCACATTTAATTTTATCATTTTTTACCACATTGCATTTTTATTTTATTTTTTAAGGGATAAATAGTACTTTTTCCCCTGAGTTATATACTTATAGCACTTAAATATTTAAAATAAATATTTCATTTATTTTTCTTTTCTAACAAATTATGACCACAATTTGGTTCAAACCAAACAGAAACTATAGCAACCAAATCGAAATATTCCAATTACAATTTAGAATCGAAACCCGATATTTAGAGTTTATTAAAATCGCGAACCAGAACGGCCGGTTCATGTTTCGAACTGAAAAATAAAATACATTTATTGTTAAATTTAGACTATTTTAAAATAAAAAAAATTAAAATAAAGACGGTTCAAAATTGCAAACCGGATTCGGAACCGTTGGTTCACGGTTCAGGATCCAATTTTTTTATTCATAATTTTAATAAACTGAAATGCAAATATTGGGTTCTAGATCTAAATCATAACCGAAAACTTTTAATTCGATTGGTATAGTGTCCGGTTCAGTTCGAACCGAACCGTGGTCATCCCTACGTATACGCAATAATTTGTTGGAGAAGAAAAATAAATATAATGTTTACTTTAAGAGTAGAAATATCAATTTAATATATCGGAAGGGAATTGTCGATTTTAAAATAATTAAGTGGCTAATATATTTGCATTCAAAAAAAAAAAAGTGGCTAATATATTTACTTGAATAATTTAAAAAGAAAAAATATTATACGTATATAACTCAAGGAAAAATGTCCTTTTTAAATTGTTATGCGATTTAGTTATGCCATTTATTTTTACTTTTGCCAAATTCAAACTTCGAGTAAGACTGAATTTGGCAAAAAAGTTGAATTCGAGGATCCAACGTGGTCAAATTAAAAATGATAAAAAGATTTCAATAGTCGTTGGAAACTAAAATTGAAATTAATGCATTCAAAATATAAACTATTTTTTTTGGGGGAGAGTGGGGCCAGCTATCCTAGTGACTACTAAGCAATAGCAGCTAAGCTTTTCACAATCATTGAAATTAATGCCCTCAAAATATAAACTATTGATAAGAGTTAATTCCAACAATGATCCTCTGACTATATTAATTTTTCAAAATTAGTTCTCGACTTTAATCTGGACATTTTACGTCCCTTGACTTTTAATTTTCTTCCAATTGAGGTCCTTTCATATGATTACGGTAAATTAAACTTTAAATGAAATGGTAAAGTAGTCATTTCATCTGCCTAATGTATAACTCTTCGTATTTCTTCCTTGTATACGCGACTTCAGACATCAAATTCACTTAATTGCTTAATCTGTAAGAGCATCTCCAACGGACGCCAAATCTCAACTCTAAAACACCATCGCAGCAAATTTCTGTCTCCAATGTGGGTTTGCATCGCGCTATAATGCCAAAGAAAATGGCGTTGATGAACAGTGCAGCGCTATATTTGGCGCAGCACTGTTCATCTGCGCCAAATGAAAATGGAGGATGAAAATAACATTTTTGCCCTTGCTTCTTTTTATAATTCTAAATGTATCCTTTATTTGTTTTATATGTAATTTGTTTTTATTTCGTTAAATACTTATATTTAAACTTTGTATTATTAAATAAAAATTATACCATTTTAAAGATCTCATTGAGACGATCGAAACAAGACTAATATTGAATATATATTAATTAAAATTTCAAATACGTTAAATATAACTAGAACATAATATTGTAGAATTAATTAAATTTTCAAAAATATTGTTAAATTCAATTTTTTAAAATAATTAATGTTATAAAAAAATTAATATTAATAAAAATTATTATTTACATTACAAATTATATTTTATATTAAACTAATTAAGTTTGAACTAAATTATATTAAACTAACTAAATTCGAACTAATAATTGAAAAATAAAATTATTTTAGTGTAAAAGTTTGATGTTTTGGTGTTTTGATGTAAATGGGTTGAAGATGAATAAAATTTGGTGTGAGAATATGCTGATAATATTCTTTCTGATGTGACATTTGCTGAAAAAATTTGGTGTTTTGGAGTTGAATAGGTTGGAGATGCTCTAATGGAATTTTGTTATTCGAGTGGATTTAGGGATTAAGTAATTAAGTGAATCTGATGTCCGAAGTCGCGCATACAAGGAAAAAATACGAAGAATTATACATTAGGCAGATCAAATGACTACTTTACCCTTTTATTTAAAGTCCACTTTACCGTAATCTGACGAAAGGACATCAATTGGAAATAAATTGAAAGTCAAAGGACGTAAAATGTTCAGATTAAAGTCGAGGACTAATTTTGAAAAATTAATATAGTCAGAGAACCATTACTGGAATTAACTCCTATTGATAACTAATGAGGGTGTACATAATATTGTTTTATAAGTTTATTAATATATTTTTTAGAACTTTTTATCTGTGACACTATATAAATTGAACGTTTTGTCTAAGTTAAAATTTAAATTGTTGGTGAGAATATACACACTTTTATTTGTGAAAACTACGTAAAAGTTTAAGGACTAATGTGGAAAAAAAAAAAAAAAAAAAAAAAAAAAAAAAAAAAAAAGAACAAAAAGAAAAAAAGCAGTACCTGAAGTGTTTAACAAATTAAAGGGAAATAATAGGTTGAACTTACTTGGGTAATTAGGAAGGCAGTATATGCACAACAGCTGAGAATGACCATAATAGGTCCCAAAATCACATTGCCATGGCTGCTAGAACTATTCTTGTTCACTGTATTTTTTGCATATTTCCAGTGAATGGTTGACTGGCCGATGACCACGGGTCCCCGATACAACGTTAGCAACATCGCCCCACCAATGCATGGGGAAAAGACAAAAATATGCGGTCAACAAGGAAAAATTCCCAAAATGTGTCGTATTTTTTTTTGGGACAAAAATATGCAAAACTCCATTCGTAGTTGCGTTTTTGATGTATTTCGTATTTTTCTTGTATTCGTAGAAAACGCAAGAGGCAGTTGCGTTTACGTATTTGTATATGTAAAACGCAAGAGGCAGTTGCGTTTACGTATTTGTATATGTAAAACGCAATAGGCTCTTGCGTTTTTGCGGCAATACCGTATCCCACAATACGCAACTATGTTTTGCGTTTTACGTATTATACGTAAAACGCAAAACCAAGTTGCGTTTTTGTGAAGTATTTGTACTCCTCGTCGCGTACGGCGGTAAAAAGAGAACCACGCTACAACTGGATTCATTCCCGTTTCGGAAATGTGGATCAGAGAAATAGACAACGAAAAGCATACCTTTGAAAAATAATACTCTGTAATAATAATGATAAGAATGCAGCAGATAACAGCGATGAAGAAAAAGTGAGGACAACTCACAGAAGACTTGGAGATAATATTCTATCGCGAATTGAAGTTTTCTTCCTTCACCTGCGGAATTCTTTTCCTTTCCTTTTTCTTTGGTTCTGACTTCTGCGAGTCAAGCGAAGAACGCATACGAAATTTGGGTCTTGCGTTTTACGGCGGTAAAAAAAACGCATTTGGGTCTTGCGTTTTACGTATTCACAGGTACAATACGTAAAACGCAAGACCCAAATGCGTTTTAGCGTATTCCCTACGTATTTTGAAAACGCAACTGGTGGTTGCGTTTTCTGTATTTAACAAAAAAAAAAAAAAAAAAACGGATGAAATACGTTCAAAAACGCAACTCTCAATAGAGTTTTGCATATTTCTGTCAAAAAAAAAGTCATTACATATTTTGGCTAATTCCCAAGCTTTTCTACACATTCTAGTCTTTTTCCCACCAATGCATATTAGGGTCCCCAAAACCTTTGCTTGTCCGACCTTCGTTCTTAGACCCATGCATATTTTGGCTAATTTTTTTTTAATATTTTTATATAATAATAATTTACAAATAATACTAAGCAGCTAAGCTAATTAACACCCACATATATGATATATTGATATGTATACACAAATAACATACATACATATTATATATATATATATATATATATATATATATATATATATGATACACATATATAATTAACGTACATTCATATAAATATTTAATTAAAATATAATTTATAATTAAATTAATTGTTATATGATAATTTTAATAAAATGATAATTAAAAATAGGAAAAAGATATGATAGATGTAGGTGTATGGTAAGATTGGTGGATATATTAAATACTAACGGTGTTATAACGGTGTAAGGGTGATTTTGTCCAATACAAATGAAATGTACAACAATTAAAACAAAATGTATATATTTATTAGCATATAAAAAAGGGACAAAAATCAAGGACATAACTTGTATTGACACATATTAGCATATATATATTGTATAAATTTTCTACGATTACGTACTGATGGAACTAAATGACCCATGCTCTAAACGGATCTAGCATGAAATGTAGGGGTAAAATGGTAAAGAGGGATAATCGTAATAATATTAAGTGGATAAATGTAAGAGCATTATATTACAAGAAGATTGTAAGGGTAGAACATGATTACTTTGTAATGATTTAGGACATGATGTTTGTAGGAAAATGAGCTGAGACATGATTTGTAATAACTAAACAATGTCAATATACAAGGAAATCTTAAGTGATTTAGCTAATTTCATGGTTCATGGTGAACCAGAGTATGAGGTAATGGCCCGTATGGCTGGCGGGCCACAAGGTCGGCCTGAATCCAACTGCCCCTGCCCCGGTGATGGGCTCCGAGGATAAAACGGTGATCGCCTGGGGTTGGGCGCACGGATTTAGGACTTGGGTTTTAGGTCCCTACATTCGGGTCAAATCACCCGACTCGATTAGTCTCATTCGGGACTCTCGGTCCGAGTCGTCCAGTCAGAATCCTTCACCTCGAGCCGTCAAGTTTTCTATTTTGAGTTCGAGCATTCTTGGTCCCATTCCTATTTTTAAAAAGAATAAGGTTTAAATTGGCCACTGAACGTAATTTGAAAATGTAATTAGGTCACTGAACGAAAAAAAAAGTGCAATTAGGCCACTGAACACTCCAAAAATGTGCAATTTCACCTGATAGCAGGTTACCCTCAATTTTAGCAGGTTATCTGCTTACGTGGCAGCTGAGTTGGCATTTTTAATAAATTTTAATAAATTTTTAATAAATTTTAATAATAACTTTTTATTAAAAAAAAATTTAAAAAATAAAAACGACTTTATTTTATTTTTTATTTAATTTTTTCCAATTTTTTATAAAATTTATTATTAAAATTAATTATTAAAAATTATTTAAAAATTATTAAAAATGCCAACTAATCTGTCACGTAAGCAGGTAACCTGCTAAAATTGATGGTAACCTGCTATCCGGTAAAATTGCATACGTTTGGAGAGTTCAATGGCCTAATTGCACATTTTTTGAGTGTTCAATTGCCTAATTGCACTTTTTTTTCATTCAGTGACCTAATTACATTTTCAGGTTACGTTCAGTGACCAATTTGAACCTTATTCCTTTAAAAATTTAAACCACTTATCCCTATATCCTCATTCTTAAATTATTTTCAATAATATCTCCATCACATACTATATTCCTTAAAGTTACCTGAAGACGAGGGCAGCAATAAATGTGATTGCGGGTATTAAGTTTCCCAAAGCAGATGCAACAGTGGGAGTGGAATTGTTTAGGCCTACAAAGAAAGAGATTTGTTCCCCTGTAAGCCTGGCAACAAAATATGGGTAAATTATTATATGAACCAAAACTACATTTTTAATATATTAAAAGTATATTATTAACGTATTGAATGTACATTATATAAAATAGTGTAGTTTTAGTACTCAAATAATGTACTTTTTCTTAATACAATGTATATTTTTAATATACTAAAAGTATATTATTTATATACTCAATGTACATTATTTGACTGTATAATTCACACAGCTGTGTAGATGGTTCACACAATAATGATTACAAATTACGTGTCATACGACGTTGGAATCGCCAAAACAATGAAGCGCAAAGTATATTTAAGTTAACTAGGTATACTCTCAAATTATATTTTCACACTTTTCCTTTCTAATATGGCAAATAAAGATATATTATTTGCGAAACATGAGTTCGCGCAAAAGTGTTCACATAAAAATTTGAGAGTAAGAGTAAGAGTAGAAGTAGATAGTTGAAAATGAGAGTCTACATAATATTTTTCATTATATTTGCTACTTGTCTTTCAAAAATTTGACATTGTATTATTTGGTTGAATACTTTAATCTTTTTATTACACGTTGATAAGATCTCTAACATCATGTTTAGTTTACAGAATGGATTTTGAAGTAATAGGAATGCTATTCCATTAGGAATGAAATAGGCAATGAATAGAATATGAATTGTATTCTATTGTTTGGTTAACTAAACGAATAGACTCTAGGAATTATATTACCGTGTTTGGTTTGTTTAAGGAATAGAAATGAAATATGTTTTAAAAGACATAAATACCATTTTAATAATAATAATAATAATAATAATAATATTCATATTCATATTATAATCTAATTACATAGAGTTTATATCCACAACGTATAGACTATTTATTAAAATCTAGTCTCATATATATAAATAAATAATAAATAAATAGAAAAAATCATATAAAAAAATTAAACACCATATACATCCACCATAGAAATAAATATCTTGTGAGCTTCTGCAATTATTAGAAGAAGATAAGTTTGGGGTCTCTGTGTGGCGCCAAGTAGAAGGATAGTTTTTGTTTTTATGGGTGTTCCCATTCCTTTTGATTAAAAAAAATCTTGTTGGGATAAAGAAGTGTTGTGAAGGGAAAAAATAAGTCTAATGAAATTTTAGATTTAATGGGGTAAAATAAGAAATAACAACTTTAGGTTATTCTTGAGAATTTAGGAATAGCCTAATATGACGGGGCTCCCCAGCTGAAATCTCTATTCCCCTTACAAGGGGAATTTTCCTTTACAAGGGGGATAGCTCATTCCCGGAAATAATATTCCTAAGAACTAAAAGAGCATTACCAAATAACAGAATATGCCTGTTCCTAAAAATATTATTACATTTCATGATTATTCTGGGAACCAAATGTGCTGTTAATGATTATGAGTCATATTAGAAGGCAATTTTACAGGGATAAAAAAGTACTCCGTATTTTTTTGTCTAAATATATTATGTTGATGCTAATTTTTTATTAAAAAAAAAACGATTTAAACATACCCAAAAAACGAGGCCAAAAGTATCTGGAAAAATATCTTGGGTGTCATTTTAGGCCTTGATTTCCTGCAATATAATAAGTGTTGATTATTCATCTGGCAAAAGAACTTACCATAAAGTATTATTAATAAAAGAGGTCACTGATCATTATTGAGTATATATTCTTAAAATATAATGGAAGTGCTCAAGTGCTATATCATTGATTATATTAATATTACTTCTTTAATCAACAATAATTTCAGAAAAAAAAATGTTATTTATTATCCCTATATTGTCACTCACAAACTTGTACAAGTTTTAGGGAAAATGGCACTTTTTCCCCCTTAGTTATATACATATAGCACTTTTCCCCCCTGAATTTTTCAAGTGGTTCTTTTTCCCCCTGAAATGTTAGATGGACATATTTACCCTTAAAATAAATATTTCATTTATTTTTCTTCTCCAACAAATTATGACCACGATTCGGTTCAAACTGAACAGACACTATAACAACTAAACTGAAATATTCCAATTACAATTTAGAATCAAAACTTGATATTTAGAGTTTATTAAAATCGCGAACCGGAATGGCCGGTTCATGTTCCGAACTGAAAAAAATAAATTACATTTATTGTTGAATTTAGAGTATTTTAAAATAAAAATAAAATGTTAAAATAAAGACGATTCAAAATCGCCAACCGGATCCGGAACCGCCGGTTCACGGTTCAGAATCCAATTTTTTTTATTCGTAATTTTAATAAATTGAAATCTAAATATTGGATTCTGGATCTGAATCATAACCGGAAATTTTCAATTCGATTGTTATAGGGTCCGGTTCAGTTCGAATCGAACCGTGGTCATCCCTACGTATAAGCAATAATTTGTTAAAGAATAAAAATAAATAAAATGTTTACTTTAAGGGTAGGAATGTCAATTTAATATATTAGGGGGGAAAATTACCACTTTTAGAATAATTGAGGGGGTTAATGTGCTTACATAAACAACTCAGGGGAAAAAAGTGCTATAAATATATAACTCAGGGGGAAAAAGTGCCATTTTCCCCAAGTTTTAATAGGTTTATTTTTTTTTATTTTTTTTTATTTTAAATTTTAATCAATTAAAACTTGCCACATCAAGTGATAAGTTTGTAGGTGGCCTGGTAATGTATGGGTATCTAGCCTGATTTTTTCAAAAAATTACTTTTGGTTAAAGCAAGAACGTACATAAGTTTAGGCAAACATAATATTCTGTTTTAGGTACACAGCATATATATTAATAATTTTAGACTTAATTTCATTTTTTGTTTTAGATTTATAGGTGACAGTTAATTTTAGTCTTTTTTTTTTATTAGAACATCTTTATTTTTGTTCTAGTATTAGGCGGCATGATCATTTTTAGTCCTCCATTAGCAAAATCGTTGAAATGTCGTTAAATACAAAGACATCTCAATCTTTTTTTTTTTTAATACAAAATAGGTTGAACCGTTATATTTTTTTATATTTATTTTTTGAAAAAAAAAACATAATTAAAGACCGAAATGTCCTTGTATTTAATGATATTTAAACTGTTTTGTTGATAAAAGATAAAAAAAAATGATTATGCTACAATAGTACTATGACCAAAAGTGGATGTTCTGATAAAAAATGACTTAAGGATGGACTGTCACCTATAAATCTAGGACCGAAAATAGAATTAACTCATAATTTTAATACAGAAATCATAACTTATTTTACATAATAGCAATATAACATTAATATAACACAAGAATTAACGGGGCGTTTGGTTGAAGGGAATTTAAATTCCCTTCCCACTTAATTCCAATTGTCACAAAATTCCCTTGTTTGGTTGAAAGGAATTGCAATTCCATGAAATTGCAATTCCTCCATTTTCATGGAATTAAAATCCCATGTCCCCCATGTAATTTTAATTCTTGGGATTTTAGGAAGAAAAAAAGATAGTGATGAGTCAAAATTACCCCTCCCTTTTTAACTTAAAATTAATGCCTAACAAAAACAATGGACATTTTTGGCTTTATACTACTTATTCCCTTTCAATTCCCATGTATACCAAACATTGGAATTAAAATTCCCAGTAATTCTATTCCTGTAAACCAAACACTGGAATTTAAATTTCCATTTTATTCCCAGTAATTCATCCCCCATGGAATTGCAATTCCTTTCCTACGTAATTCTCCCTCTCCAACCAAACGCTGTGAAACCATTTCACTTAACATAAATATATAATATGTAATACTTTGTAACGTAAATAACTAAATATAATACTTTTATAATTTAACAAATATTATATTTAATACTATAAAATTAGAACATTTAGATTAGTAATGTGAGATTAGTTATAGTAATTGTAAGATTTTTCAGACTCAATATATAGGACAGAATAAATAAAAAAAATAAAAACAAAAGAAAAGAATAAAAAAAAGTAAAATTAAGGCATTCCTTGAGCTCACTGACACATCTAAGCGAAAAAAAAAAAAAAAAAAAAAAAAGTTATGATTGAAACATTGTCTAAACAAACACCCCAAAAACCAACTTCCCCAATGATGTTTAAACGTTGTAAACGGGTGCGTGAGTGGTTCATTTATAGTAATTTGTGAGTATAAATGAGTTTCCAAAAACTTTTTACACTATATATTTACAAAATACATATATGCATCTATACTTATTTAAAGTTATATATATTCTAATTAAACTCAAATATCACGATGTTTGAGTCTAGTGGAATTTGAGTTTTTAAAAAAATGAGGTTGGCTAAAACTTTTGAACTTCAAACTTTATTTCGAGTTTTTTTTTTTTTTTTTTTCAGACCATGAGGTGTTTTGAGTAGATCCTAACTGTACGAGGCATCTTTAAGTTCGTACCATATTCAGATTAATCCTTGTTCGCATCGAGACAACCCAATTACTGGGCAAAATACTGACCAGATTAGATAATTTGAGTATGTATAATATCCATACACTCGACTGACTTATTTATAACCATATGTTAATTTTCTTAAATACTTCCTACTAAATCATTAAGCTAAACCTGCAACCATATGCTTATTTCTAGATGGTATATATTAGTGGAGAAAATAGTTTATACAATAAAAATATATATGTAGGATGATATTATACCTCTCCAAGAAATAAGCCAAGGGAGCAAGGGCAATGGTGGCAAACATTTGCTGGTAAGCTATGTGGATGAAGGGATTCATGCCGGCGCCCATCACCGCCGTCGCTACGATGTTCACTCCGGCATATCCTAGCTGAACTATCACCATAACAAACAAAGGCAACAAATCACTGCACCCCATTATATATATTATGAATTGGAAGAATATATAGTATAGCTTTGGTTTTAATTAGGCTTTATATGTTGTAGTATGCAACAGATAGATATATATTTAAGGAAGTGAAGTGATAAGTTGTTTGGAGGGATGGTGTGGTATATATAAATGGCGAATTGGATCAAAAGGTTGTGTATACTGTATAGTGATTGCTGACAAGAAATTGGGAAGATGATGAATCTTTTCTCAATACCTATAATCATACAGAGAAGACGGCAGTAATTTTATGTCTGCCGCAGGGATATTTATGTCATTCTTGAATTTTACGTCACTTAACATGCATATAACATTTCTTTAAAAACTAATATGTATATATGTAATGGACAAAAGTAAGTGCCCAACATCATTACTTAATCTTCTTTTTTTTTTTTTTTTTTTTTTTTTTTTTTTTTTTTTTTTTTTTTTTAAAGCAAACGCAAAAGCATAGATTACTGAATCAAAGAAGAGGGATAGAGTCCTAGCTAGTACATCGAGCCAGCCTGTGCAGCTGAAGCTAGAGTGTGAGCATGTAAATTAGTCGATCTAGGCACTAAACTAATAGAGCAATAATTAAATAAATCCATAAAGGACGATCAATAACCAAACCAACATATAAGTAGATGGAATCTTGACGAGTGGACAAATTATAGTGCGAAGCTCTGAGCAATTGGTGAAGAGACTAACAGATAATGAACCCCGGTCCTTTAGCCACGATAGGACCTCCTTGCAAGCCATGGACTCGGCCATAAGAGGCGAAAGACAGCCTGGTAGACGTCCACTGCATGCCGCCGCCCTGAGCCAACAAGACAGCGCCATACGTCGCCTCCCCGGTAGCTGGACGATATCCTGCATCGAAGAAGCAACTCGGTTGGGCAGTAACGTGATGAGCGCAAGAGCTGCAACAGATGAAGCCTGCTGGACGTGGACCTGCCTCCATGCGAGTAAAGCTAAGCATGCCATCGACCACGTCTTTTTCGGCAGCGGTAAACAAGCATCCCATATAGCTACATTTCTTGCTTTCCAAACGAAATATAGAACTGCTACAATCATACCAATATGATCCTCCGACATAGTGCTCATAAAAGATGTAAACCACGAGGAGAAATCTAGACCATCAAAAGTGGGGAGTGGGATGGAAGATTATATTCATGCCATACAAGCTTTGAATAGTCACACAAAAGAAATGCATGCATAATACTTTCATGACTTAGACCATATATAGGATATTTTGGGTCTACATCTACCCTCCTTATAATCAGATTGTTGATAGTGGGAAGGATATCACATAAAGCTCTCCAAAGAAAGGTCTTCCATTTGGGGGGAAGGGGGAGACTTTAGTTTTCCAGAAGGAAACCCATCTATCAAAGTGTCCAGGAGTATTCTCATATTCTCCAACAATGTGTCGGTAGCCACTCTTTAATAGAGTAACATCCCTTAGGGTCCTTATGCCAAAACCATGAATCTTCATAATCCGGGCTTATGGGAATTCTGGAGATCCTAGCCACATCCTCAGGGATAAAAATATCTGCTAAATTATCGGGGTCTTAGCCGTTGGTGTCCTGATCAATTATACCTGAAACCACTGCACCATTTAATTCATTAGGCATAAGGGTCTGAACCAATGGATTAGGCTCATTAGGCAACCAAGGGTCACCCCAAATTAAAGTTGTCCTGCCATTACCGATTCTTCTTCTAACCCCACTACAAATTAGATCATGGGCGGCCATAACACTACACCAACAATAACTCGGGCAACTCCCCATAGTAGCATTAATGAAAGAAGCTCTTGGGAAATAACGAGTCTTATAAACTCTGGCTGCCAGAGAGTTAGGATTAGTTAGAAAATGTCATGCCTGCTTCCCTAACATGGCTAAATTGAAAGCACGAAGATCCTTAAAACCCAAACCACCATACCTCTTAGGGACACACAAACGATCCTAAGATTTTCAATGGATTTCCCTTTTAGTGCTGGACCCCCACCAATATCAATTCACAACTCTCTCAATTCACATACAAACTCACTCAGGAAGCAAAAAAAACGCTTATAGAAAAAGTAGGCATAGATTGAGCCGCACTTTTCAAGAGAACTTCTTTACCTGTCAAAGACAATAACTTTTTATTCCATGAGTCAATCCGCTGCTTAATCTTATCCTCTATAAACGAAAAAATAGCCATCTTATTCATTCTCACAAAGGATGGCAAACCCAAATACTTCCCAAAATTGGGAGCACAGGACACGCCAAGCACCCCTCCAACCGCCTCCCTATCCACTTATTTTTACTTAAAAAAACACTAGATTTGTTAAAATTAACCGCCTGAACTGACAACTCCTCATAAGTAGCAGTAAGACACTACTTGATAACACTTGCTTCCAGGGCATTAGCTTTAAAGAACAGGAGGCTATCATCTGTAAAAAATAAATGTGAAATCGGTGGGGCTCATCGAGCCACCCTACATCCATGTATAGATCCTTCCAACTGGTCTTTCTGCAACAACAAAGAGAGTCCCTCAGCACAAATGATAAACAAACACGGGGAAAGAGGGTCACCCCGCCCGAGCCCACGCGTAGGGGTAACGTGGCCACCTGCTGCACCATTAACCTGAATATTATATTAAACTGTAGTGACACAAAGAATTTTTTGTTCCACCCGTTTATCTGCAAATCCCAAGGCTAGCAACATTCTCCGTAAAAACGGCCACTCCATTAAATCGTAAGCCTTAACCATATCCAACTTTAGGGCTCCCCAACCAACTACACCGCACTGCTTCCTGTTTAGGTAATGACCCACCTCAGCTGCTACAAGAATAATATCAGTGATAAGCCTACTCAGGATGAACACACTTTGGGACTCAGAAATTAGTTCCCCACGGAGTGGCTTCATTCTATTTGCTATCATCTTTGTCATTACCTTATAAACAACATTGCACAAAGCTATGGGTTGTAGATCTGCCACAGTCTCAGGGTTACTCTTCTTAGGGATGAGGACTACATTAGTATCATTAAGACCCACAAGGAAGGAACCAAAATCCAAACAATTTATCACAAAATCAGAAACATCCCCCTGACTACATCCTAAAAATACTGGTAAAACCCCTGATTCATTCCATCCAGTCTAGGCGCTTTATCATGTAACATTCAAAAAACAGTAGATTTAACCTCATCATACTCAAACGGACGAAGGAGAGCATTATTTTGGTTAGAGGTGACTGTAGGGGTTACAGAATTAAAGAAGGGATCTACACACAGATTATTGGAACAGAAAATACCATTAAAATAATTCAAGATAACAGACTTCATAACATCCCCTTCTACCCAATCACCAGCATCATTCTTTAATCTAGAAAATGACATTTTTCTTTTTACGAGCAGAGGCATACCTGTGAAAGAACTTTGTATTCGCATCAGCTCCCCTGAGCCAATGTTGCTTAGCGCGTTGCCTCCAAAAAGCATTATCCAAGCCCCTCCAACTAACACAATTGGGCCTCCAGACGTTGGTACTCAGCTAGAGAGACCGGGTCCCTACAATCCCTAAGAGCAAGCTGATTATTGTGAATATTCTTTATCCGCTCCCCAAATTTATGAAAATGGTCCCCTCCCCACCGCATCAGACGATTTCCACAATAATGCAGACAACTCAACAGACCACCTTCCCTTCTTTCTTGCCATGCCTCCTCCACCACACCCCTACATCACTCATCTAACAGCCAAGCCATCTTAAAACGGAATCGGCTTGGTCCCCTAGGACCACTCGTACTCACATTATCCACATCAAGGAAAAGGGCCATATGATCAAAAGACCGAGTCAATAAGTTCTCCACAGTAGCACCTCCCCGATTAGTACACCAATCCACACTCGCGAGCACCTTATCCAACCTCTCCTCCAACCAATCCACTATACCCCTTCCCCTCTCCCAGGTAAACGGTACCTTTCATTGCCAGCTCGACCAACCCACAAGCCTCAACAGTCTCCCCAAAACCGCGAAGGAGACCATCTGGATGAGAATTTCCACCCCTCTTCTCATGTTGAAAAAGGAGATCGTTGAAATCTCCCAAGACAACCCAAGGGAGCGTTGATCTATTAGCTAGAGTCTTGAGCAAGTCCCAAGATTCCCTCCTCCTACTCCTCTCAGGGAACCCGTAAAAGCAAGTCATACGCCACTCAGTAGTACCCTTACTTACCACAACATCCACATGATTCTTAGAAAAATTTAGAAGCCTAGCCGTGTTATTCTTTCTCCAAAACAAAGCCAAACCACCACTCAACCCAACATTATCAACAAAGAAAAGACCTTCGAAACCAAGCTTGACACAGATGCGCTCCGTGTGTATCCGTCCCACCTTGGTTTCCATAAAAAAAATGAACTCGGGTTTCTTACGGGACACCAAGTCCACTATTTCTCAAACTGTGGGTGGATTGCCCAAGCCAAGATAGTTCCAACTTAACGTACTCATGAGGACGAGCGGGCCTGTGCACCAGAACCCGCCGAGTACAAGTTTTTTGAAGCGTCTGTCATCATAATTTCACTGCTGCTCAAACCCCCTCTCCTACCTCCGCCTCCCGAACCCTCCCGGCGGCGTTTTGAAACTGCCACAATAGCACCCTCGCCAACCATATTGCTGCTCGACACCAGAAGGTCCAACGCCAGCTGCTGACTCACCCGAACCTCCCCCAACGTCCCCTCATCGACTTGTAGTTGCCCTTCCTTCGGAATCAACTAGTGATCCCTCACCGCCCTAGGTCCACGACTCATGCCAGCCCAGAGATCATCCCCATACGGATACTGTTCAACCGGTAAAGACGAGTCACATGCCTTCAGACAAAACTTGTACGAGTGCCCCAACAAGCCGCATAAAAAACATAAAGTGTGTAATCTTTCATACTTGAAAGACACCCAACAACTCGTCTTGTCCCATTTTACCAATTTCATGCGACGTTTTAACGGCTTAGCAACCGGAATTGAGACCCTGATACGGAAAAAAGTTTTTCTGGGTGCCCCTACAAACCTATCATCACTCCAGACAAACGTCCCCATAAAATTTCCAACCTTCTCCAGGATCGGCCCCGATGTGTAACCCAACGACAAGCCATGAAGTT